GTCCATTAGTCTTTTAGACTAATTGTTTCAGCACATCTTTGTTTTTCTTCTCTCTTCTTTGTTCTGGACAGGGAGAGACCAATAGTTTCACCTCAAATGATTACTCACAGGGTTTTAATACCCTAGTAATTACTCATCAAAGTAGGAGGTAGAGCTTTGTCTTTGTGGACCATGTTATGTCAGCTGGCCTTGATGTCTCCCTAGACTGACCTTTTAGAAGCAGATCACCTGTACTTTCTCCTGAAGTATCTCTAGATGAGTTTAAACACCAACCTTTTGGTTAATAGTCAAGTACTTAATCTTTATATTTGTTTTAGTTGTGATTTTAACAAAAGTTTATAGAAAAGTAGACTTTTTCATTCATTCATTGTTGCACGTTTTCCTTCCTACACATCCCAGTTCACATCTTTTTAAAAAAATTTTTCTCATTGTTGCATAATTTTCTATCTCATCCCAATCCCTCCCCAAATCCTCTTTTCTATGCACCTCTTATTCTGGATTGTTGTCATACAAATAATGCCTAATCATATATTCCTTTTAAGTGGTTCTTTCCTTCATCTGTTTCAATACAGTGTTCATTATTTATGCCCTTTTTTCTTAATTCCCCCCCAACACTCATGTCAGTCCTTTTTTATAACAGTGGTGTTGTGCAGTATTTGTCCTTCTGTGATTGAGATATTTCACTCAGCATAATGTCCTCCAGGGTCACTCGTGTTGTATAATATTAATTGGTTTGCTTACAAAGTTCGTATACATTGTGCTTCATACTAATTCTCATTCATATTGTGTTTCTTACAATCATTCTCATGCATTATGTTTTCTAATTAATCACTATTAGAACTGGAGCATGATTACCCTGTCTTTTCACCTAGATCCTTCCCCTTTCCTTCCCCCATCTTTCCAGCCACCAGACTGTACAACCCTGTGGTTTCACCCCTGCCCACCCTCACCCCTCTTTTCTGAACCTTTTACCCCTTGGATTCCCATATATGTTTTACTAGTTATCCTTCTATTTTTACAATAATGGTCTTATGCAGTATTTGTCCTTAGAAGACTGAGTTAGTTCACTCAATATAATGCTCTCCAGTCTCCTCCAAGTTATGTAGTATTTTTCTAAATCATTGCTCCTGAAATACTTAACATTTTGCACCATCCAAGTACTTTTAAGAATAATAATAGCATTTATAAGTCACTAAAATAAGTTGTTAAATATTCTAAGTACTTTAATCTATCTTACTTGACCTTCAATGCAATCTCATCTTATAATTAAAGAAAAAGAAGCTCAGAAAGATGGAACAAGTTACCCAAAGCTATACAGCAGATGAACACAAGAGAAGGGATTTGAACTATGTTTCCAGAGACTACCTATTACCCCACTGTTCAGACAGAGCAAGATGGTGTGGAGGGGACATTCCCAGAAAAAGACAAGCAAAAGCCTGAGAGATGGAAATGGGTGAGGCCAGGACAGAGGATCTCCCAGCAATCTTGGTGGAACTGGACAGCTTGAAGGGCCTGGCAATTCTGGGCTATAATGGCCTTGAGTTCTAGGTTCACCAGGTCTAAAGGGACACAATCACACTTAATGACCCAGAAAATGGGTCAGGGCCAAGAGGCAGGAAGCAGGAGCTGACAGAGGACCAGGCCCTGGCACCGGGCTCTAACCTCCCACACAAGGGCATTGTCCACAGGCATGGAGTGTGGCTGGAGGGGGGCCTCTCTGGAGAAAGTCCTTCCCTGAAGGCCTCCCTGGCTCCCACATGTCTCACCTGGTGCTCAGGCTTTGGCACACTTGATGAATGTGCTTCACCTTGCTCTTCTTTTCAACACCAGGAAGAGGAGATCAGCCAGGGACCTGCCATACGCTCTGTGACCTCAGGACATTCACTGTCCTTCTCTTGTCCCTTCTATAGAAGGAAATGGGATTTGACAATCCCAATGGTCTTCCCAGTTCTAAACCATAATTCTGTTCTTCTAGACTGAAGTTGGGCAGCAAGGATGATACCCTAGGTTATGGGAGGTATTTGTATTACCAACATTCGTAGGTAGATACCAAGGTGGCTAAGACCATGTGACCTGGGCCAGAGGCTTGAATTAAAATCTCAGCTCCGGCATCACTGGCCGTGTGACTTGAACAAGTCAACAATTCTCTGAGCCTCAGATGTCTTCAGTGGTATTGGGGTTATTGACACTGGCTTGGGGTGACTGCATAGGTTCATTGAGCCAAGTTCTGCATGCACCTAATTTATGAGTCCCTGACTGGGTATTCACAGGTCTCCCTTTGGTTCAAGGTTATGCCATGGTTCAGTATTTGTTCCTTCAAGAGATATTCACTGAGATTCCCTGAGGGCAAATATAAAGCAAAGTACATGCTAATTGTCTTGAAATGAATGGTTAAGAGTGCCTTACTAAAGGCACTTCAGTTCATACTCTTGGAAGCTGTTTGAGAAGAGTTCTTGTTTCTTTTACTTTACAGATGAGGAAATTGAAGTCCAGAAAGGACCTTTCCCATGATCACACAGATAAGATCCAAATTTCTTCTCTTTGGTGAATTAATTGATGGCAGTATGAATTCTTGTGTGCATTGAAGAATCAGAGTTAGGCAAAGGTATTCCTCATTTTTCCTAAGTAAATTATTAACTGTTGTTTTGTACCTCAAATTAGAACACTCTCAAAGCTGACCAGCTGACCCTCCAGTGGATTTTCAGAGACTGTAAACTGCATGTGAAGACATTAACCCAACTGATGCCTTCTAACTAATTACCTGCCTTTGGATTGACAGGGTAGGTAAATTATGCTCATAATCTGGCTCCAAAACTCATCTGATTATAAGAAATAATAAGGGGAGCTCTGGTGGCCTAGTGGCAAGAAGCTGCACTGCAATCCCAGAGGAACACGGTTCGAATCCACCAGATGCTCTGCCGGAGAAGGAGGTGCAATATCCTCCTGTACCAGTCAGATCTGATTTGACGGTACACGCACACAAAATAATAATTAAAAAAAAAAGAAATAATAGTATCAGCTAGGATACTTACTCACTCACATTTATTAAGCATTGACTCTGTCCTTTAAGTGATACACCCTGTGCTTTATTTGGCGCTTTGGGAGATAAGTACTGTCTTTCCTCTCATTTAACAGATGCAAAAAACTGAGGCTCAGAGAGGTTAAGGAATCTGCCCTGAGTCACACAGCATGGAAGTGGTAAAGCCACTGCTCAGATTTACAATCCAGAACACATTTGTGTCTACCTCAGTGTGAAGTCATCCCCAGGTGAGCTCTGAAGTCAGAGCTCTGGTTCAAATTCTGCCTCTGCCTTTGGCTGGCTGTGTGAAGCCAGTTCCTCCATGGTCAAGCAGGATAACAATGTTGACCCACTGCCAGCCATCACAGGAGCTTAATGCCTCATTGTTGCTACTATTCTCATTGTTGTCTCACAGAAGTGACCGCCCAGGAGGTAAAGCCCCTGGCACAGCCTGCAGTGTGCCATGGCCCAGCCCCTCTGCCATGCATCCCAGCATCTCACCTGCTCTCCATGCCAGCCTAGACCCTCCTTTCTCCAAACCTCAGGAAGCTGGAGTCCCAAGATTGCCTCCAGGCGGGGCCGTGGTTCACAGCAAGCCACAAATATTTACCTTGGAGATCTCAACTTGGCCCAAGGTCCTAGCCAAAATGCAAAGGGTGGCCACCTAGGCTGACGAGAGGAGGATATAAGGCTGGGCTTGCAGGTCCACTACACAGGAGAAGAGGGCAGAGGGCAAGGACTCCTGCAGTGTCCCAGGTAAAGGTGCAGGGACTGGGCTAATGACTGGGTTTCAAGAAGGGTTCTAAGCTACTGACACCTGCCAGGGTCAAGTCAGAACAGGAACAAAGTTGGGACCCGACTAAAGGCCCTTAGTTAGCGAGGACCCCTGAGGGCCAGAACCTAGTGATGTAGATGCGCCGGGCTCGCTCACCCTCAGGCCGAAGAGCAGTGATGAGGGAATCGACAGGCTGTCTTTTCCTGACTTTGACCCCATGACAGACCTGCTCTGCCCACACTGATTACTGTGTGCCCAGCTTGCACTGGGGCGAGATGGTAATAAGGAGAAGCATCAGATGCTGTCCAAGCCTCAAGGAGCGTTCAGTGTGGGCCACGGTGTTGCTCAAAGCAGGTCAGGGATGTAGTGCAGGGCAGTCAGGGAAGTTCCTCAAAGAGGTTCTGTGTCAGTTGAACAGTTGAAACTTTCAGGCCAAGAAAGTGAGAAAGACGTTGTATGCCTGGGGAATAGCTTAAGCTACTTCCACTTTGAGTCCTCCTTGAAATCTCATTTACCTCCTGTTCTGGGCATGCATCAGCCCCCAGAGCAAAGTCTCTTTAAGCGTGCTCCAGGATCCTTGGTGGAAATGGAAAGCTTTGCAGAGGAGGTGACGATTGGGCAGGATTTTAAAGGATGAACAGGAGTCTATGACCCAGACAGACACAGGAGTGAACCAGGCACATTCTGGGAACACCAGGCCCCTTGGGAAGGCTGGGACTATAGCATAAGAGAAGGAAGAGTAGAAGGTGAGATTGAAATCGAGTCAGCAGTGTTTTAAGTACCAGCCTGATGAGTGTTGTTTCATCCAGGACACTCTTGCAGCATTTCCCATAAGAAAACAGTCAACATTTTCAGTGTTTATCTTGTAACAGACCCTATGCTAGACGCTTTCTAAATGGCAGCTCAGTTATTCACTAGATATACCCATTGACAGATGAGAAAACTGAGGCACACACACAAAAGGATTAGTTGCTCATCTAAGGTCACTCAGCATGTAGCAGAATCAAGACGCACACGTAGGCAGTCAGGTGCTGGAACCCACACTCTTAGCCACTGCTCTACGCAGCCTTTCCTAGCCCCCATGTCCGGGTTCACTAAAGACAGGGGCTTGTACTTGGCTTCTCTGCTCGGCCAGTGAAGCTCTCTGTGCTCACCACAGGCTCTGACATCTGCCACCTGATGCTTACAGACATCCCCCTAAGAAAGATGGCTGGCCCATGGACCTTCCTCCTCACCTGTGCTTTGCTGACAGCCTCTTCAGTACAAGCTACACTCGGTCCCCCTGCAGTTCTCACCATAGGCCCCGAAGTCATCAAAGAAAGTAAGTCATGGTCTCCCAGGTCTTGGGACCTTATGGCAAGTAGGTGGGGTGATATAGACCTTCAAAAAGTGGGGAGTAGAAGAGAGTCTCCCACCACTGGGGGTATGTAAGGCATAGCTCTGGGATGAGATTTAAATGAACTATAAAATTGGTGATGTCTATGATCTCAAGAGCCCATGATTCTGAGATTCCTATCTCCTTACATTCCATGATTCACTTCCACGATTCTGGGTGCCAAGAATCCTGCACTCTAATTAAGCCACGTCCTACAGGAAGGGCCCATGGCCGCCATGTGCACTGGTGGTTTAGTATTAAAGATTTCAGCTGCCAACTCAGAGTGAAATTGTCCAAATCCACCGGTTGTTCTGCACGAGAGAGATGGACAATCTTCTCCTGTGAATTTATAGTCTCTGAAAACTCATTGGAGGGTCTATTAATTATGACTTTGTTCCAACTCCACACCACGTAATAATAACGAAGGATGCCCTGTGAATCGGGACAAGTACTCCAGAACAGAAAAACCCTTGGGGAAGCGGGAAGAAGCATCACCAAGTTTGGGGTGCAGACCTCATTGAAAAAGTTCTGGTTGAAGCTTACTGGAGAGTGAGGTTTGCTGGGCTATCACAGGCCAGAGTTCCCCACCCCAACCCCATTGGCAGGCTGAGGTCAGCGGGCAGTGCTTGTAGAGATGCCTGTGAAATTCTTTGGGAAGCGCTCCATGGAAAAAAAGGTTATTTGTGGTTAACTCCCTGGGAGGCTATCCCAGGGAAATGCCTGAGAGTGAGCCTCAGAAAACTCACTGTCTGCCCTCCAGAGTGTCATGAACTTGTGTCTTAAAACCACTGGACACTGAGACCACAGCCGACCAGTAAAAGGTGCACCCTGGGTCAAGAAAGGAAGCCACCCTCTCCTCCAGTGTCTCTCCAGAGCCTCTGCTAATAGGATTTACCACTGTGCCAGCCAACAGAGAAATATTTATAGGACTTATCACTATTATCACAGAGCAGGCAAAAAAACGTGGGTGCGAAATTGAAATGCAAGAACTTGACAATGAGCACACAGGGCCCTGGAGAACAGTGGAGAACACAGAGTTGGCTCCTCTGGCCTGAGAGTTGAAGGATCTGGTTCATCACCAGTCATTGGCCAAGGGCTGCTTCTGTGGCATCATCTGTCCAGAGCTCTGGTCTTCTCTGCTCATCAGACAAATGGGCTCTGGCTGCCTGCAAAGAAGTCCTCAGCTGAAAATCTGGGACACTCACGGTGAGCGGTGTTGAGAGAAGGCAGGTGGAGGTTCCCTCAACTGGACCCACTGAGTCTCAGGTCACACAAGTCTTGAGGGATCAATGTCCAAGGGTCCTGGCGCAGTGGTCCCCCGCCCTGCTTGCTCTTCTCTCTTCTCACCACCAGAGGCTCTAAGCCTTTAGGATGTGGATACCGCAGAATTGTTAACAACTGCGTTTTGACACAATGGTCCCTGACAAGGCCTTGAGCAAAGTGCCTTTTGACTCTGGAGTTGTCAACTGACCGATTATGTTGAGGGGGGAAGGAGCAATAGAGGTTCATGTGCTAGTTGTACTTGCTGCCCCCCAGGGTCTGAATAGGCCACTTGCGACCTAGCTTCTTCACCCTTCATTTGAAAATGGCCCATCTGGGTCAGCATCCTCAAGGTTCCATCTACACAATGAATGAAGGCCAGGATGGTGCCATCCCTACCAGCCCCATCAAGGTCTGAGAGTCCCTGAATGACACCCAGGATGGAAGCTCCTACCAAGCAAACCTTCTTGCCTCCCCACTGGACCCTCATTCTGGGATTTCCTGCAGAGTTTACACAGGCCCTGAAGGACCACAATGCGGTTAACATCCTCCAGCAGCTCCCGTTGCTAAGCGCTGTGCGAGAGGAGCCTGCCAGGGGCTTTGTGGGCAGCATCGTGGGCACCATCCTCAAATACATCGTCTGGTAAGTGGAGCAGGACAAACTTGGGGGCTAATTCCATCTCCCCACCTCTGCCCTGCACACACTTCCTGTGATCAGTCAACAAATACTAGTTTGTGTCAACTCTGTGCCTGATTATGGAGGAGAAATCAAACTAAATCCTCCCTTTGAGAAGCTCCCAAAATAAGTTAGCAATAATCACAAGACAACGACGCAGGAACTCTCGTAGAAGTAACCCCAGAGGAAGTTCATGTGGGATGAGAGTAATGATGCTCATGGCGAAGGGAAAATGAAGTCTTCTCAGAGGAGGTGACGCTTGAGATAGTAACTCAGAATTGGCCATGAGGCAAGAAGAAATTGGCATTCCAGGCAGAAAGGCCAACCTGGGCAATGGCACAGAGTCTGTCAGAAAGGCTGGTGCTCTGGTCCAGTGTGAGGAGTAGCGGAAGAGGGTTGGGTCGCAGAGAATCTCAAATGTATGACCAAGGGGTTAAGATCAGTCATCTAAGTGAGGGGAAATTGTCATTGTGCTGCCAACAGGGGTAGAGAGGAAGGATAGAGCAAGGCCATGCTGGAGAGAAGTCAGTAGACAAGGTTTGGGGCCCAATCGCTAGCCAAGTACACAGAGTAGGTGGGAAAGACAGAGGAAGAGAGTAAGTTTGGACACAATGTTCAGTCGAGCATAAAGGCCTGGGTCTCCTCTCTTCTACAACCCATCTAGGCTGAAGGTCACCTCAGCCAGTATCCTCCAGCTGCAAGTGGAACCCTTGGCCAGTATGCAGGAGATAGTGGTCAGGGTCCCCATGGACATGGTGGCTGGATTCAATACGTGAGTATATCTTCCTTCGCTCCGTTTAGGTATCTGGAAAAGCATTCAAAACAAAGAGAGCTTTGCTGTGTTCACAGATTGTCAAGGAAAGGGGATCAAAAGTGAGGTGAGGTCAGCAAACAGTGGGACTCAGATCACACAGGGTCTTGTGGGTTAAGGGGAGAGAGTTCTGAGGAAAAGCGGGACATACCAGGACTTAACCTTTCCAAAGAATATCTCTCATTGCTGTAAGATCAAAGTGGAGGCCAGTAAGAAACTATCATAACAATACAGGAGGCGACAAGGATGGCTGGACAGTGGGGTGGTACAGTGGTGGAGACAGTGGATTCTAGAACTGGTTTGAAGGGAAGTAGAGACAAGATTTCCTGTTATGTGGAATGTGCAGTGAGAGAGGAGCTAACGGTAACACCAGTTTTCTCTTTGGAAGGTTCGAGTGGCCAGCACCAACATGGAGATGTAAATTTGGGAACTAAACCAGGGTTCAGGCTGATACTTGTTAATTTTGAGATGTAATTAATTGTAAGAGATTGGAGTAAAGAGTGGGTAGATGTTTGGAAACTGTGCCATGTGGCTGAGATAAACCAGGAGAGGAGCCTGGGACATGCTGAGGCGGGGAAGAAACTAAAGAAAAGAGAAGAAGCTAGAAAAGGAAGTGGAAGGAAAACCAGGCAGGAAGGAGGAGAGCCACATACCAGATGGACAGTAGGTTTGCTCTGGTCTTGAACTTGAAAGGTGTTAACAATGTCAAGGGCCTCTATCCTTGCCCTAGACCCCTGATCCCGACCATCGTGGAGATGCACATGAAGACAGAGGCCCAGGCCATTATCCACGTGGAGAGAAACAACCAGGGCCTCCCTCACCTGGTCCTCAGCGACTGCTCCAACAGCCAAGGCAGCCTGAGCATCAGCCTGCTGCATAAGTGAGTACAGCCAGCCTCCTGCCGGGCTCCAGCGTCCTCCTAGGGACTGATGCCAGGTAGCAGTCTTTTCCCATTTTACAGAGTTGTTGATGATGTTGGGTACCTTCGAGTTGAGAAAGACTCATAGTAAACAACAGATCTGAACCCTTTCCTGTCCTGTGCCAACCTCACAATCTCTGACACGCTCAAGTCCCACCTGATTGAGAGTCGTCCTCGCCTTCATTGTCCCTCCACTTTTCCAAACATAATGTTTCTCTCCAAGGCATAGTCTCTCCTAGCAACTTGCCCAATGCATGCAAGATGAAGCTCTCCTTGCCTCCAAAGTAGCACTCTGGCAGTACTTAATCCAAAACATATCTGTCTGTTCTTTTGGCAGTCTATATGAGATATTCAGGACTCTTCTCCAACACCACAGAGAGGTCCAGAGAAAGAAAGGGATTATCTTTCCGATTTTTGATCTGGAAACCTATAATGTCAGAGAGCATTGTAGACATCAATAGAGGAAGCAATAATGATGGGATTTCAAGCATCATGCTAGGAAGCAGGGCAAACATATGAATGACTTCCTTCCTAGGGCTGTTGAAACCACCCCCAGGACAGTCAGGCAGAGCCATGGGATAAAAACAAAGGTTTTTAGAGTCAGGCAAGCACAGCTACTTCATTGAAAATCTAGGTGACACAGGGCATGGCACGTCACCTCTCTATGCCTCCCCTTCTTTACCTGTAAAGTGGAGTTGATGGCATCTTCCAGGCAGCAGGATTATTGTTCTTGTTACCTATCAATCCTATGCACAATAGCTCTGAACCCTGCTCTATCCTGGACCAATCTCACTTTCTCTGACACATCTACCTTTATTACCCCAGTTACTATGTCCGTCTCATCTGGGCTCTTCCTCTCCTGTCCTGTCACTCCACCTTTCCAAGCACGATGTCCTTCTCCAAGTACTGGTTCCTCCTGGCAACATGTCCAAAGTATGTGAGACAGAGCTTCCAAATCCTTGCCTCCAAGGAACAGCTTGGCTCTCCAGGATAGATCTATTCGTTCTCTTGGAAATCCATGGTTTGTTCACTATTCTTCTCCAGTACCACAACTCAAAGGCATCAAAGGCAGCACGGTTAGATCATGTAATAATACCCAGAGAGCTCACAGAATAGTAGGTGCTTAAAACCACCATGCTTCTTTGCACATTTCCTTAGAAGGAGGACAGAGAAGCTGCCGGCCCCAGCAGCCCAAAGGCCACATAGCTAGTCCCTCTAGACCCTGCTTCTGGAGAACCCTCTGTCACTGTCTACCTCCTGGCTCTAAGTCCATGCCCAACTCTCTTCTTAACAAGCTGCATGGTCTTGCAGATCTCCTCCATCCTGTCTATGAAATATGGGAAGGGTGGTTGTCTCTGGCCCTTCCTCATCTCTCCCCCCTTCTCCTCTTTGTACAGACTTTCCTTCCTGGTCAACCCCTTAGCTGACAAGGTCATGAACCTTCTGATGCCAGCCCTGCCCAAGCTGGTGAAAAGTAAGGTGAGTGAGCCAGGGCTTCCTTCGTGGGGCTGGGCTCAAACTACACACTGGAGTGGAGGGGCTCACTGTTATGGTTATGTACCGACTCATAGCTGACCCTCCAGTGGGTTTCAAAAGGCAGTAAATCTCACAGGAGATTTCCATCGTTCTCCCATGGACCAGCAGGTGGGCTCAAACTGTAAACCTTTGTGTTGCTAGCATAACTTCTTACTCACTAAGCCATCAGAGCTCTCTGGAGAGAGTGCTTCTTCTTGTTTATCATCAAGTCAGAACTGACCTCATAGCTGAGTTTTCAGAGGCAGTTAATCACATGGGAGGAGACTGCCCATCTTTCTTCCACAGAGCAACTGGTGGATTCGAACTGCAGTGCAATTCCTGACCACCAAGCCAAACTGCTGGAGCTGGCTAATTTTTTTCAGGCATGGCTATTGAGCAAAGAGCAATGGATAGGGTCACTGGCCCAAGCAGATCCTTGAGATCAAGGTAATAGAATTCCCCAGTGAAGTTTATAAATGACATTAGCAAAGGATGAGGGAGGGAGCCCTGGCTCGTAGCATTTGCTGATTTCTGTGATGTAAACACTCCTTACATGGCTAATTCTGAGCCACCAATGTAACACCGTAGAATAGAGCTGGAAAGAGGTGTACTGTTGTGAAAGAGCATACTATTGTTTGTTGTGTACCATCAAGTCGGAACTGACCCATAGCTGACCCTCCAGCAGCCTTTCAGAGACAGTTAATCGCATAGGAGGAGATTGCCCATCTGTCTCCCACAACAGCACACTATTGCATATTCATTCCGACACAGATACAAAAAAGGTAACTCATAGGTAACAGTAAAATGGAGTAAGATAACTAGGACTAAAGTTTGCCTTTTTAGATCAATTAATCTCATTGTTGTTGCATGTGCTGTAAAGTCAAAACCAACTCGTAGCTGACCCTCCAGACAGTTGTCATAGGCTCTAAATGGTGTAGGAGGACACTGCCCCTTTTTCCCTCTTAGAGCAGCTGGTGGACTCTTAAAAGCCTGCTTTTGGGTTGACAGCAGCACCTCCTTCCCCCCAGGCCACCAGAGCTCCCTCATTTAATTGTAAGCTAGGCAATTTTTTTTATGGTTGGATTTAGCACTTGGATTAGGGATTTCTGAAAAATTAACAATCAGTCCTTGCAAATCCATGTGAGCTTTTCTAGCACACCTCTCAAACTGGCCGTGGTCTCCAGCGGTGTGCCACCCACTGGGGCCTGAAGGATTTCTTTTTCTGATTCAGTAAGGACACATCAATCTCGTTGTATACATCTCTTACATGGCATAGGTAAATAAAAATTCCATGGTAGGATTCACCCACTTTGGCCATTGATTTCCCCTGAAAGTCCCAAAAAAGAATTAATAGCAATAGTTCATCCTTCTAGAAGGGGTAAAAAATTACCTTGTTAAATAGTTGTTTTTTTAAAAAAAATAGACAATTAAAAATCTTTTTCATTGAAAAGATAATGTGATGACCAAAACTATTTTAGAAAAAAAATTCACAGCCTATCTTAATGCGGCAACACAACAATTTTCTCTTCTTCACATTAACTTCCATTCTGCATATTAATCTCCATTCATATGTGCTCATATTTTTATGTACCAGCACTTGGTATAAATACTATTTAGTGTTCTTTAAATTATTCCCATGTTTCTGTGCTCATTGTATGGTAACCATTGTTAATTTAGTGGTTGCATAAAATTTAATACTTTACTCAGTCATTCCAAGGAGCCATTTTGAAGGAATCTCAAAATGGAATGATGTTGTAAATTTTCATTTTTCTTATGTGAGATATTATTACTTTTGAGGGTTTTTTCCCCCTATTTAAGTAGGGTGCTCTAGTAACCTAGTGGTAAGTAACTGTGCTGTAATTCCAAAGGTACACAGTTCAAATTTGTCAGCTCCTCCCTGGAAGTAGGATCAGTGATCTCCTCCCATAATTTCTACTGCCTCCAAAAACCCCCTGGAGGGTCAGCTCCAAGTTGATTTCAACTCGATGGCTCACAACAACAACAAAATGGAAATTTCTCATAGCCAAGCCAGCTGTGAATTTTTTCTCATCCTCTAGCAAGATGATATTTTCTGCTGACCTTAGCCTTTCACAGCTAAAAAAATGTATTTTCCACTAAGGGAAAAAAGGGGAGGAGCAAGAACATGTGATTATAAAATGTTCTGTGCATAGTATGTGTTTTTACAGGTGAAATGGCAAATCTAGAAACTATTAGGAGACATATGTTGTTGTGGCCTTCAAGTCAGGTACAATTCAGAGTGTCCTTATCAAGAACAGATCTGAATGCCGTTCTATCCTGTGCCATCCTCATCACCTCTTGAGCCCATAGCTGCAGTCATCATGCCAATTCGTCTCATTGAGGGTCTTCCTCTCTTTTGCTGATGTTGGCATTTCATTGTATTTTCCCACCATGATTATCTGGATTTGAAACAAAGGTCAAATGAACACTTTCTTTTAAGTGAGGGAAAAGTATGTTTGGAAAGTGGATGTGTGGCAAGGGTTCGCTTAAAAATATTAAATAAGAAATGAAAAATAAACAACCTAAATTTAAAAAAAATATTAAATAAGCCTACCTCATTGTAAATCTGTTCACCTCAACACTGGCTATACATCACAGTCTTCTGGGAAGGCTTTTGAAAATATTGCTGTCTAGGTCCTTCCTCCAAAAAATGGGTGTGTGGTCTGGGCTGAGACTTTGTATCCCAGAGGCTCCTATTATGCCACCAGGATTGAGTCCTATGGATGGGAAGGAAGGAGAGAAATTGTGGGAGACGATGCCCGAGGGATAGATGGTCCTTTAGTAGAGCATGCTGGGAGTACCTAGTCTCTCCGGATTCTGTGTTGGCAAAACAGCTTGGAACAAACTCAACTCAATTTATTATAGCGGAATCAGAACAAAGACTTAGCTGGCCATTCATTGGGTTTCCTCAAAGGGGAAGACATTACTCATTTTTCTTTCTTATAGCAACCCTATGCACAGTAGTTCTGAAACCTGCTCTATCCTGAGCCAATCTCACTGTCTCTGACATATCTACCCTCATTACGCCAGTCATTATGTCAAATCCATCTCATCCAGGATCTTCCTCTCTTGTGCTCTCCCTCCTCTCTTGTGCTTTCCCTCCATCCTTCCAAGCATGATATCCTTCTCCAAAGACTGGTCTCTCCTGGCTACATGTCCAAAGTATGTCACACAGAGCTTCAGATTCCTTACCTTCAAGGAGATTGGCTTCACCCTCTCCAGGACAGACCTGTTAGTTCTCTTGGCAATCCATGGTATATACAATATTCCTCTCCAGCACCACAGCTCAAAGGCATCAATTCTTCTGCAATCTTTGGTCATTGTCCAGCTCTCTGATGCATAGCAAGTATGCATGAAGATCACAATCTGGATCAGGCACACCTTAGTCTCTAGATTGACATCCTTGCTCTTCAACACTCTGAAGAGGTCCCGGACAGCAGATTTTCCTAATGCAATTCATCTTTTGATTTCCTGGCTGCTGGTGCCAAGAGTGTAGATTGTGAAAACAAGCAAGCTAAAATTGTTAACAATCTCAATCTCTTCTCCATCTATCATGAGGCTACCAATGGGCCCAGAGGTGAGAATCTTCATTTTCTTGCTGTTGAGGTTCAGTCCATATTTCTTTTAGCATATTGACTTTTTCTGACAGTAGCAAGGAATGGCCATCTGGAAAGCTCTTTCACTAAAGCAATGGTACCTAAAACAAAATGAGCCTAAACAACCTTACAGCTTCTCCCTGGAAAACGGACTGCCTCGGAGCAGAGAGAGGGGGAGCTCTTGTGGCAAAGTCCAATGCTAGTTGTACTACAAATTCGACAGCTATATGACTCCAGAGGTTCAAATCACTAGTATCTATCTCTATGGGAGAAACATGGGCAATTTCCTCTCATTGCGACTTACAGCCTCAGAAATGCGACGGATGATCGCGCTGTATTGAAACTGACTCCATGGTGGTGAGTTTGAGCCTTGATTTTTTTGCTAGAAAGGGCCACTCTCCAGGGCTAACAGGAATGGTTAGCAGCACCCTTGACCTTTGTCCACAGGTGGCAGTAGCACAGCAAAGTCAGTAGGGAGTTGTCTCCATAACCCAAAGGCAATGCCCCTGTGGCAATTGGAATTCACTAGCCTAGTGAAAGATATGAGCAGTCTCCTCCCATGTAATTCGCAAAATCAGACACCCAGTGAGGGTCAGCTATGAGTCGGTTCCATCTCCATGACAATGAGAGGTGGGAAATGTCTCCAATCATGGCCAAAGGTCCTCTAAAGTCACCACGTGTGGCAAGGCCCTGGCAGTGTCAGGGACAAGCAGCTCAGTGATTCCTCACTGACAAAGTCCCTTCGTGTGTGCTGTTGCAGCTGTGTCCCGTGATGGAGGCGGCCTTCCAGGATATGTACACAAATCTCCTGCACATGGTGAAAAGTAAGTGCCCTCCTCCCTCTCCCTCCTCTTCTCTCTTTGTCACAGCCAGTCAGGCCTGACCAACAAGCAGAGCCCATCAGCAGTCGGGGGGACGATCCTCAGCTGACCCCCTGACCAGGACAAACAGGCAGCACCACGTTATTACAACTACAACTTTGTCCTAGTTTTTTGTACTGCTAACCAAAGGCCAAGTATCTCCATTGTTTTGAATCTGCCAGCAGCTTCATGGGAGGAAAGATGGACATCTCTTCCTGTTACAGTTTGCAGCCTCAGACACCTGATGGAAGGTTGCTGAGTCAGAATGTAGCCAACTTGAGATTTTTACTTTGACAACTTCACAAGGACCTGCTACACACACACACACAAGGTTCTAGGAGAGGCCAGCAGGTGCAATAGGATAGGTCTGGGCTCCAGAACCCCAGATAAACCCAAGTTCAATGCACAGCTATGCCTGTGACTTGCTTCATTCAGCCCCTGTAGGCAAACCACTCCATCTCCTTTTAGCCTCAATTTTCTCAACTATAAAATGGAGCTTATAGACTCCATGCTTCATAGGACTGCCAGTGGATTTCAACGATTCAGGTGCATACCAGGTTCTCTGCCTGTCTCAGAGACACGCTGAGTGGATGAATAGATGAATTCCTGAGTGAGTGAGTGAGTGATACAGCAACTACAATGTACTAGGGAAGTGAGGACAGGGACAGGGAAGAGACTAAATCTGTGCCTTGGCAGGAGAACAGCAGGTGGAGCTCTAGTGGCATCATTCGTAGCAAGTTGTGTTCCTAATCCAAAGGCCTCCAGTCTCTGGTAGTTCAAATCCACCAGCATCTCTGTCTCTTCCTGTTAGAATTTATTTCCCAGTGCCGCGGGATAGGGCAAGGCTTTGATCTGTTGTTCATGGTGTTGCTATGAGTTGTAGTCAGCTAACAGTGTCAGAAATAGAAAATAACTAACGGCAACAAGGCTCAAACCCAGGTCTGTCTGGTTCCTCTGCTCTCCATGAGCCAGATGGGAGATGTCCTTGCCTTTCCACCATCACTATCATCACCTTCATCCCATCCTGACAGCCCAGGGAACACAGGAGGTGCCACCACCAAGTGGCCAAGTGGAGAACCTGAAGTGAACAGACAGGATCCCATAGACAGAGGGGCTTCCAGCCCTAGACTACCTCTAAGCAGGAGAGAGGTCTAGGTCAATGTGGTAGCAGAGATGGAAAGTTCTAGGTTATATTTCTTAAATTTTGACCTGAACCCAGAGCTTTACACATTCTGACTGATATTCAAATCTTCTCAATGTATGACCTTGTACAACTCATTCCACTTTATTTTTTAAATTTTTTTTATTGCTATTTTAATTGAAGTTTATAAAGAAGTTAGGTTTCCAATCCTTTATTGTTGCACGTTTTCCTTCCTGCATCCCCTTTCCCACAGATCACTTTGTTATACAGTACCCCACCCCACCCCACTGGTGCCCAGACAGCTTATATATGCAGTTCTTATTCTGGACTCTTGTCATGCCAATAATATCTAATCATATATTCCTTTTATACAGTTCTCTCCCTCGTCTGTTTCAATGCTGTGTACATTATTTATCCCGTTTTCTTAGTTTTTCCCCAACCCCGATGCCAATCTTATAAGAGTGGCATTATGCCATATTTGTCTTTTTGTGACTGAGATATTTTGCTCAGCATAATGTCCTCCATAGTCACCCATTTTGTATACTATTTCATGAGTTCCTTGTTTTTCAGTGTTGCATAGTATTCCATTGTGTGAATATACCACAGCTTCTCTATCCATTCATTTGTTGATGGGCACTTAGGTTGTTTCCAACTCTTTGCTATTGCGAACAAAGCAGCAATAAACATGGGTGTGCATATATCTGCTTGGGTTGCAGTTATGGTCTCTTTGGGGTATAGTCCCAGTAGTGGAATTGCTGGGTCAAATGGTATTTCTATTTCCAACTTTTTGAGAAAGTGCCATATTGCCTTCCATAATGGTTTCACCATCATTCCACTTTCTTAAGTCTTTGTTTTTCCACCTATAAAATGTGGTAATAATAGAATCTATCATCTGTAAAAGGGAGCTCTGGTGGCCTAGAGGTAGAAAATTTCAATGCAACTTCAAAGGCACACAGTTCAAATCCATCAATTGCCCTGCAGGAGAAGGATGGACAGTCTCCTTCCGTGCTATTAGCTGCGTCTGAAAACCCGCTGGAGGATCAGCTATGGGTTGGTTCCTACTCAACGTAACCACAACAACATCATCTGTAAAGGGAGCTCTGGTGGCCTAATTAATGAGTAAGGAATTGTGCTACCGACCCAAAGGCAGATGATTTGAATCCATCAACTGCTCCAAGAGAGAATGAAGGGAAATCTGCTACAGCCTCTGAAAACCCGTGGGAGGGTTGGCTATGAGGGTTAACTTACTAGGGTTAGTGTGAAGATGAAATGAGATCATACATGCAAAGGTTTAGCACAGCGTCTGGATTTAGTTTTAAGCATATAAATATTAGTCATTATTGTCACTATCACCACTGTCATTATCAACAACACCGTCAATTGCTCCTGCTCCTCCAGGCACCACGTTATCAGATTCCACAATGCTTTTCCCTGTCACAGAATTTTCTTCTTGTCTCTGCACAGCACCCGTCTCTCTTGGCTTTAACCACCTGGAGTTCGACCTTCTCTTCCCTGCCATCGATTATGACATCCATCTCAACCTGAAGGTGGGTGTCACAGGATTACCCCTGGCCACCAAGGGTTAACGTTGTAGGTATATCTTAAGAGAGAGCACAAGCCATGGTTGGGACATGCAGGGAAGTTCATAAAAGTCCTGGACATGCTATATGAGGAAGAAAAAAATCAGTAAACAGAAACCAAGGGCCACACACAACACAGACCAGGGAAGATGTGTTCTCTGACTCCAATCACCAGGGCTGGTGTGCATACACTGGGGTGCTTGCAATTTATGTCCGCCAAGCCCTTTCCAATCCCTAAATCTCTGATGACCTTGAAACAAGAGCCTTGGCTGATCCCAGGATCATGTCACAGAGAATCACACAGACCTGTTTCTCTCCCAGTTCCCGTACTCTCTGGCGGTGTGACTTCAGGCAAGTTTCTTTGCTTCTCTGTTTCTTTTAGGATGTGGTCACTAAGGAGAGGCCGACGTGACACTGCACAGGACTGAGCCCAGTGTATGTTAGTGCTCTGTAAAATGTGCAGCTACCCACCCTGCACCACCAGGCCAACCCAGGCTGCACTCATTGCATTAGCTCTCTAGACTTCTGCTTTCCCTTAGGAGATCACAGCATCAAACATTTGTACCCATTTTGGTACACTTTTGACTCTTCTTCACAACCAAATGGTTTGGTGGATCTGAGAAGTTAAAGTGTGGGTACAAAAATAGATACCAGAATTTTTTAAAAAAAGGAACCAAAATCAGGGATTAGCTGAGTGCTTCAGTTGGAGTAGATATTGCCAGGTACTCCAGATAATTCTGTCTATATCGAGTCACTGAATTCCAGGCTAAGCCAATTGGAAGCAAAAGCAAAAAGAGAAACAAACTGAAAAGTGCATTTCCTTCTAGGTTGTTATGGGGTAAACTAGGAGTTAGAATTCTCAGGCAACTCCTTGCTCTGTGTCTCCTCAGGTCAAGCTGTTGGACTCACAGGGGAAGATGACCGGTTGGTTCAACACTTCTTCAACATCAATAACAGTGCCCACCCTGAACAATGACTATTTCAGCTTTGTCGTGAGGCTGGATGTGGTCAATGCTGCAGTGGCCGCTTTGCTCCCTCCAGAAGAGCTTGCCGTCCTATTGGACTATGTGGTAAGCCTTGGCATCAGGCAGAGGATCAGGCAACTTCTACTGTATTATGGGAACTTCTTAAATCAAAGAAGGTTCAGGGATTCCTAAGGCCTGAGCAGGAACCCCTTACTAAACTTATTTCAAGTCCTCCAGTAACAGAGAGCTCATTCCTTACTCTAACAGAATGAAAATCCTGCCTGTAAAAGTTGGTCACAGTCTGCCCTCTTGAACCTGATACATCTGCTTCATCCCCCAAATAACAGTCCTACCAGTCAAAGGGTATCTTAGATGCTGGGTAGTCCAGAAATGGCAAATACATCTTGGACACTAGGCAGTCAAATATGTAGATGATACAGCCTTGTGTACCAAAATGAAGAAGATTTGAAATGCCTGCAGATGAAGTTCAAAGACTGTATGGATTTCATCTCAACATGAAAAATTAAAAGTCCTCACTGCTAGACCAACAAGCAACATCATGATAAACAGTCAGAAGATAGAAGTTGTCCCTGAGAGAATAAGTAATTGATCCTAGACCTCAGGGCATAGTGTGAGGGTCGGTAAAAAAGAGGAAGACCTCTAATGAAACGGATTGATATAGTGGCTGTAACAATGGACTCAAGCCCAGAGGTGACTGGGAGGAAGGTGCAGGACAGGACAGTGGTCTGCTCTGCTGAACATGAGCCACTGTGAGTTGGTATCAATTCTATGGATGGCACTGCTGGAGAAGAGTATTTTTTTTTTTTTGAGAGAGGAGTATTGAATATACAATGAACTTCTAGGACAACAAACAGGTTTATCCTAGAGAGGGTGAAACCAGGGTGCTCCTTGGACACAAGGATTCTAAAGCTTCATCTGACATACTTTGGACATGTTACGAGGGACCATTCCTTGGAGAGGGACATCATGCTTGGGCAAGAGGGGACATCGCAAGAGAGGAAGACCCTGGATGAGATGGATTGATTCAGTGACTGGGGTAAAGGGGTTAGGTGTGTCAGAGACAATGAGATTGGCTCAAGATTGAGCAGGGTTCAGAGTCATTGTACACAGAGTCGCTATGATTCACAAGCAACTTGACTGCCTATAACTGTAACAACAACTATGGCTCAGAACAACTAGGCCACCGAAGAATGGCTGCTGTGTCACTACTCTCCACTAGGGAGTACATGGCAAACATCACTAGGGGATCAGGGGCTTCTTCCTCCTGAGCCTGGGTGCTAATTCAGCCTTGAAACCTTTATCAACACAGCACTAAGTCAACTAGAATGTGCCATCTCCTCCAGGGCGACTGATAAGGAAACTGGGGCCCAGAAGGGCTCAAAATAACAGAAGGGTGATAGGAATTCAGGTCAGCTGAGAGAAAACAAAAAATCAAATTCTTAAAGATCAGAACTCACTAAGAACTTGGAGTAATGAGAAAAATAGAAGCAATCACTAGCAACCATACAGTTGTGATAAGGATTGGGGTCACTTTTCTAGAGGACAGCACTCTGAGTGAAATATCTCAGTCACAAAAGGACAAATATTGCATACGGTCACTATTATAAAACAGGACTGACACTGGGATTGAGGGAAGACAGAGAAGAAGGGGAGGAATGATGTATATTGCATTGTAACAGATGAGGGAGAGAACTGTTTAAAAAGGATATATGATTGGGTATTATTGTCACGACAGGAATCCAGAATGAAGGCTGCACAGTGCAGTGGACTTGGGGGGAGGGATTGCATAACAATGAGTTTTTCTTTTACTTATCAAGGAGAAAAGCTAATTGGGGGCGGGGGGGGAGAAAAGTGCAACAAAGAAGGACTGGAAACCCTAAGTCTCTGTTAACTTTCATTAAAATTAATAATTAAAAAAATGTAATAGAACTTTTGAAGAAAAAAAAAAGAGTTGGGGTCACTTTCCTATATCCTTTTGTGGCTATTGTATACCGTTGAGTTGGCACTGACCCATAGCTGACTCCAGTGGTGGATTTTCAGTAGACAGCACAGGAGAAAATGGCTAATCTTTCTCCTGTGGAACAGCTGGTGGATGTGAACCGTGCACCTTTGGATTGACAGCACAACGCCTTACCAGCCTACAAGCACAAGAGCCCATGTCAGTGAGGGTCCTAGGCCATAAAGCAGTTAAGTTAGGAGTTGTTTTTCCAACAGTGATGTGACTGTGACCAAGGCCACCTGACCTGACCGGCTTTTCTGAGGGTTCTAGGGAGCTTCATGCTGGCAGTGGGCTGCAGGAACCTGACTCCATAGCCCTTCTGGCTGACCCACCCTGACTTTCTCTCGCCCTCAGCTTCCTGAGCTGGCCCGTGAGCTGAAGACGAGCCTCAAGGTGATCAGTGAAAAGGTGGGTACATTGGCCACCTGCAGTTTGATGAGTGTTTGCTAAGGTCTGGACCTGGTCCTCTGGGGTGAAGAATATGTACAGGATTGCCTACTTCCCCCTCCAGCGCTGTACATGTGAGGCACCAACCCCTCAGGACTTCAGTCTAGCAGGGCAGGCAGGCCTGAAACAAATAGGAGCTATTACCATTACAAATATGGTGAAAAAGAACAGGTTCTGTGGGTAGTGAAGATAGTCTGGGAGATCAAAGAGTGCTTTCCTGAAGGGTAGGATGTTTGAGGCAGAGAGAACAGCAAAAAGAAAGGCTATGACATGGGAAGGACAACAATACGTTTAAGCACCTTGAAGAAGAGAACTGTGGCTGGAGCACAGAGAGCAAGCTGGGAGGAGAGGAAGGCGGACGGGGATCTGGGGCCTGCGGTGAAATGTTTGTGAGGCTGTGGATCTGATGTCTGATTCTAGGCTGCAGCGCAGCTGGGGCCCACCCAGATTGTGAAGATCTTCACGCAGGATACCCCCATAGTCCTGCTGACGCAGGACGGTGCCAAGCTGGCCCAGCAGGTCGTGTTTGAGGTGTTCGCCACCAATGAAGTCCGCCGCCCCTTCTTCACCCTGGGCATTGTGAGTTCAATTGTCCGTGGCCTTGGCAGGGCCCTGGGAGACCCTTCTGCTCAGTCTTCCCACTGCCTCTCCTGCTTTGCTAAACATTCCCACCACCCTTGTCACCAGCAGGGGGAGGGATGGGAGAAGAGCTGCTGAGCAAGAGTTTGATGATCTGGAGATGTAATTCGGACCCAGAGCATTTATTAGAGAGCTTTGAGCAGAAGCTTAATGCGCATGCGCGAAAGGAATCGCGTTAGCTCATAGAATTGAGATGAACTCTTGCTTTCAGGAATAGCTGGATCCTAGGGCAAGAGAGGAAGATCCTGGATGAGGAGGATTGACTCAATGACTGGGGGAATGGGTGTACGTGTGTCAGAGACGATGAAATTGACTCAGGGTAGAGCAGGGTTTAGAGCATATAGGGCATATATATGACACATAACGACAACAGGGTTCAAACAGTTCTAGTGAGCTCGGTGGCCTGGTGGTAAGAAGCTATGCTGCAGTCCCAAAGGCACTTAGGTTCAAATCCGCTGTTCCATGGGAGAAGGATGGGCAATCTCCTCCCAGGCTGCCCCTTAAAGCCCACCAGAGGGTCAGCTATGAGTGAGTTCTGACTGAATGGCACACATCAACAGCAGTAGTGCCCAAGCAAAGAGGTCTGGTGCTTTCACAGTCTGTGGCGAGTTCCCCAGCTAACATAAAGGCTCTGAGCCTCTGGCAGTTTAAATCTACCTGTCATTCTGCAGGAGAAAGATGGGAAGTCTCTCCTCCAGTCTCCTCTCACTGTGATTTACACCTTTGAAAACCCAAAAGAGGTTACTGTCAGTTGGAACTGACTTACTGGCAGAGAGACAGTGTGCTCAAACAAGCTTGTCTTCATTCTTTTTCCTCATCTTGGCTTTTGATCGCATCTTGTCAGTTCATCATCAGCCACCAATGAGTACCCATTGTTGGACAACACTGTTGATTAACCATTGTTGGACAATTCTCCAAAGAAGGGAAAGAAGTGTGAACCACGAGCAGCAACATTCATAGCAGTTGAGAGATGGGTGCCCATCTTCGAAGGGGGCTCTCAAGGGGCATTCACACTGGATGGTGAAGAAGAGAGATAGAGCAGCGTTCATAGTTGGATATTGGATAATTAAGGCCTTCTATGGAAGATTCCCAAGGAATCACAGGTTATTGTGGTATACCTTCAAATGGGAACCGACTCAAAGCTGATCCCCCAGTGGGTTTTCAGATTCAATAAATCACACTGGAGGATAGGGCTCTCTTTTCTCCATGGAGAAGCTGGTGGATTCAAATTGTGTACCTTTGCATTGGCAGCATGATTTCTTACCCCACAAGCCACCAGAGTTCCCTCAGGGGGACTCTAAAGAGGGCTCCTTAATAAGAGGTTAGTGCTGACACTCTGTGAGCAGCAGGGCTGCTCTATACAGCTGCCCATCATACAAGTCCAGGGGCTGCTGTTTGCAAAGACTGCAAGGTTGATGGTACCCTTGAAGTTGCTTGGAAGAGTGCCCTGGCTTCCTGGATTGAAAGACATTTGCTGCACACACACACACACACACACACTGACCAGCAGGCTACCCTGGTCAGCTTCACTTCCTGATAGGACCCTCCCTTGTCAATGGCATGCACTTTCTAAAAAGATACCCAAGCCCAGACCCCTGAAAGATCAATTTGTACCTGCAGAGCGCAGTTTACCTGAAGGTGTTGCCTGCCACCACTTCCCTCAGGTCATCTCAACCTGAAGGTCAAATTAGCAAAAATCTTTGGCTGCTCCTGTCGGGGCCTGTCTTAACATCTGAACTTTCTAATAATAAGAACAATCGTTAACATTTGCCAGGTGGTCACTTATTCTCTTTGTCCCTCAGCCTCCTCTCCCCTATAATGGGCAGTAATAGGACTGTAAGGATTAAAGGAGCTAATTATATAAAGCTCTTCACATGGTCTGGCACACGGGGTGGGGGTGGGGGTGGGGCGGAGACAGGACTCAAATTGGGTTAGGCCGACTCGTAGAGGCTCCTTGAATAAGCCCTACACTCTGTGCTTGGTGCTTGCTCTCTAAAGACATGGAGTGGGGGCTTTTCTTCTTGCAGGAAGCGAATTCAGAAGCTCAATTCTACACCAAAGGTGACCAGCTTATTCTCAACTTAAATGAAATCAAGTAAGTATGAAAATCATTGTGAAGGTTCTAGTGTAGAAACAAATACGTGCTGGGTCCATCAAGTTTCTTTAAACAGAGTGTTTTGTGTCTATGTGGAGTGTACTCCAGGCAAAGGTGGCTCCACAACTCCAGCTGTTGAGGACTGAATGGAGCAAAGGGAGGAGAGGGAAGAAGCCGAGCAGCTCCAGTGTAGGCACATTCCGCCCACACCCTCCTCACTTTTGCTGCTACTTCTCAACCCTAAGCCGCCCATTCTGGGCACCTCCAAGATTGAACCCAACCCTGTCACACCCACACGCCACGCACCATCTTTGAGTTAACGGCTCATCCCCCCGCCCTTCCAAGTCTACCACCTTCCCTGCTCTGCCCCAGGGGGTTGAGACCTACACACTGATGCCTCCTGGGGCAAAACACCCAGATGTTTCCATTAACTCACACACAATTCTCTCCTTCTCTATCACCCTCACTGCCGTTGAGTCAGAACCAACTCACAGCTGATTCTCCAGTGGGTATAAATCATGCCGGAGGACATTGAGCTGCTTTCTCTTAGAGCAGCTGCTGGATTCGAACAAGGAAGAGAGGCAGCATCTCTGAGTTAACTGCACAACTCCCCGCAGACTGTTACCCTACGTATGTGATTAGTGTTTTAACATAAATTATTACATATAAAGATCAGAATCCCTAGGCCCCAGGCTTACATTCCCACACTCCAACAAACATTAGCGGTGTCCCCTTTAGAAGGGGACACCCCTCAACAACCCTCAGTTCTAGGGTTAGGGTGATTATCTGCTCCTTGAGCCATTTTTTGTTTCACCTCCTCCACCTCCCTAAAAATATAAGCTTCACAGGGCAAAGATTTTATTTGGCTGACTGCTATCTATCCAGAAGCAGTACTGTGTCTAGTACATAAGAGATGCTCAATAAATATGTGTTGGATGAATGAATGCGTGGAGTCCCACGATCTTCTGTTGCAGTATCGAGCGGATCCAACTGATGAACACAGGCATTTCTGACTTCAACGTGAGTATTAACAGATTTCATTCTGAAAATAAACACCACAGGATTTATCTCAAACAAAGTCCTTATTGGTAACTTTGTGTGGTCAACCACAAACGTGGGAATCAGGTGAAGGCTGATCCAGGACTGACAGGAAGGCTTCCTGGCCTGGAATCTCCGAAAGCAGAATGTGGATAAAGGGAGGGAGAGGAGAGGGGCCTGGAAGCAGCCACACAGGGTTGTTTCGGTTCTATTTACTGGGTACCTACTATGTGCCCAGCAGGACACAGCTGAGAACACACATACTTCCACACTCTCGTAGATACACACTCACTTTCCTCCTGTGATGTTTTGATCTGGTAGACCAGGGACCTGGGGTGCCCTCTATCTCCAACAGCCTTGCCTTAAGGCTGAGCCACGCTTGTCCTAGGAAAGGCTGCAGGGACCTTCTCAGCCAGGGTGACACTGTCCTTTCTTCTCTCACAGCCTGAGCTTCTGAAAGGCATCATCACCGATATCCTGGTCTCCGTCCTGCTGCCCAACGAGAATGGTGGGTCACTCTTCCTCTCTGACCTCCCAGCCCTAGGAATCCCCATACCAGTCCAGAGTCCGGGCATACAGAAATGAAGCAGACAAGACCCAGGGCTCCCAGCCAAGGGACGCAAATGTAAACAACCAGAGCTCACTCAAGCTGCCTCACACAAACCTGTGTTCAATCCCCGGTCCCCCTTCTTGCTGGCTGGCTGATCTTGGCCAAGTTGCTTAATTCCCCTGAGGTTCTGTTTCCCCACTATGTAAAGTGAGGTATTAAGAGTCCCTTCCTCCAAGGTGTAAATGAGGTGATGTGTATTAGGTGGTGCCTAGCACAGTCACTTCTTGGCCATTGCAGTCGGCATCATTATCTGTGCTACTAAAGAGATAACCAAGAGAGAAGACAGAATTACTCAAATTAAAGCCTGGGTCTTTATCTTGGGGGCAGAGAGAATTAGTTAGTAACTCATGCCAACCCTGCCTCCTCTGCCAGTGGTTTAGCCAAGTGGGGAATCTCAGCATATATAAATCTCTGCTGTGGACCAAGGGAGCCACTGATGATTCCTGAGCAGAAGTTTGAGAGGATGTGAGGATTTACTTTGTCAGAAGCGAGAAACTGGTGTTAGAGGCAAAGAGTGAGAGGATAAGTGGAATCCATAGGATCCAGAGAAGACGTGAACAGAGGCAGAAGTCTAAATCTCTGACCAATCCTGCCCTGGGTTTACCAATCTCTGATATGTTTATTTCAGGCAAATTAAGATTCGGTATCCCAATTCCAATGGTGAAGGCTTTCGGATTTGAGGAAGCTGCGTTGTCTATGACAAAGGTGAGTGGGCCATGGGCTTAAAGACACTGGCCTGGGGAGGATACCAGGAGCTCTGGTGGTGTACACTGTGGTACACTGCACTGCTAACCAAACCCACCAGACGCTCTGTGGGAGAAAGATGGGCAGTTTCCTCCCACTGAGATTTACAGCCTCAGAAACCCAATGGAGGGGAGGGCGATCAGTTTGGTATTCTAGAGGGAATGTCCACAGGAGTACTTGTGGCACAGTGGTTAAGTCCATGGCTGTTAACTGAAAGATTGGAGATTCAAATCCACCAGCTGCTTCTCAAGCAAAAAAAGTAGCCCTCTGTTTCCATGAAGATTTGCAGCCTTGATAACCTAGGAGGCTGCTCAGCTCTGTCCTACGGCTCCCTCTGAATCAGAGGCAACTCAGTGACCATGGGTCTTGGTTTACGGCGGGTATCAAAGGTGAGGAAAGTGGTGGTCCCAGAGGTGCACATGTGCTCCTCTCGCGGGGCATTTTGGACAAGTGCCTTTCCCTCTCTGATCCTCATCTCCTCGACTGGAATGGTGCCTGGAATGTTCTGGAAGGTCTGGCCTGGGGTCCACACACCTCTAACTTTTTCCATGCTCTCTGTCACTTAACCATTTGTTCATTCATTCAGTGAACATGTGTTGAGGGCCTGCTACGTGCGAGGCATGCTTTAAGAGGCCACAGAGGTGAACAAACAGGCAATATCTGCCTGGGACTACTGTTCACACACTGGACCCCTCTCTTTGGACCTCCCCAAGAATTCTGTACAGTCTGTTCAGGGTCTTGACCCTCCTCCCGCACCCCACTTCCCAGTGTTAGCAGACACCTTGCCAAGGACAAAGCTAATGTAACATCAAGTCAAACGATAAAGACTCAGTTTGACTTTCTGCCTCCAATTACAGGACTCCCTTGTGATCACCCCGTCACCTCATAGCACCCAGGACCTCTATCCTCTCTCCTCCTGAAGACTGGACAGTGGACTTCCCGTACAGGCACCCTGGTGACAGTGGGGGACAGGGTCGGCCACTGGCAAGCTCTGTAGACTGCCTCTTTCTGCAATAAACAAGCACTTCCCCGTGACTTTGGCCATGTGAGCTATCTGTGTCTCAGGACAGGGGTCATTTTGTCCCAGGTGGTCCTGGAGATGTCCAATCCACATCTGAGTCACATTCGGGCACATCTGAGCCAATGCAGACAAGGACTGAGCTCTTTCTAGACCACATCCAGCTGATGCCCAACTGGGCTTCAGGAATAAGAATGTCAGTTCTTCCCATCTGCCTTCCACATCAGCCTCTGGTCAAGGCCACTTTGGTGGGGAACACACATTTGGTTAAACTTGGCAATGCAATAGCTCTTTGAACAACATGGTTCCCAAAACAGATAAACTAGGCTTCAAGTTCTAGCCAGGCCACCCATTGGTTTGATGGCCCAGGCTGTCCTTCTCTGGGCCTCAGCTTTCTCCTCTTTAAAATGGGTAGGGGGAGCTCTGGTGGCCTAGTGGCAAGAAGCTGCACTGCAACCCTAAAAGCATGTGGTTCAAGGCCACGAGCTGCTCTATAGGAGAAGGGAGGGTAATCTCCTCCCGAGCGATTGTCTTTGAACACTCACTGGAGGGGCAGCTATGAGTCTGTTCCTACTCAACGGTGCACAACAACAACAACAATAAAATGAGTAGAATCATAACTTCACACTGGAGGCCCTGGTGAAGACAGTATTATTCCAGACATGTGGCAGGAACTTGAGCAATGTCTATTGAGGGTAGCATCATGCTTACTGCTGTTATCTGGGCTCCAGGAAGTCAGGCTTTGTCACCGAAAGCCCTTTCTGCTCTGATAGCATGTGACTGCCATTGTCTCCGTGGCCTTCCTGATGCCAGGAGGCTCAAGACAGACAATAGAGCTCCTGTCCTCCAGACTCCAGCCTGCCTGGGCAGAGAGAGCCCTGTACTGCCATGAGGGGCCCGGCAGGAAGGGACATGGTGGATGCTTCAGGGAGAGGCACTTCTCAGCTTCAGGACATAAAGAGCAGACCTGTTAGCCCAGACATCTAGCAGCTCAACAACCTGAGGGGTGGCCCAGGGAGCAGTTTCTCCTGTCTCTGAGCCCTGGGTCCTTCCCCAGCCTCCATCACTCCCGCCGAGCAGTGGCTGGGCTCCATGGTAGGCTCACTGCCACATGAGGCCTGAAAAGCAGCTGTCAACTTGTTCTACCCCCATCACAGTTCCTCCTCCGTTTTCTAAGTCATGTTTATGTCTGAATCCCCACTCACCAGAGCGCTGAGAAATGTATTCTCCATCTTACTTTGGTTGATCACTTCTGGCTCCCCAGGGTTGCACAAGTATCCACAGGGGATAGGAGAGGACCCCCAAGGAAGCTGGAAGCTGGGGCAGAGGCTGATCCCAGTGGAGGGCTCTCTGTCCAAGTTCACAAGATCCAGTCAGAAGTGAGCAGTTCCACCACCACAATCAACCTGGGTACCAGAATCCTCCAAAGCAGCCATGGTCACAGCTCCCAGGATTCCAGTCACCCATATCCTCTGGGGGTTCCTCAGTTTTCTCACCCTTAGAGGGTGCCTGTTCTGTGCCAGCTCCCAGCTCCTTGGCCAGACTGAACTCCAATGGTCCACATGAGCTGGATAACACCTTCTTTATCAGGTGCCAGTCCTTCCTGTCTCATGGCCCCACTCCTCTGTGATTTTCCTGGTTTTAGTTCCCAAATAGCCCACCTGAACTCCAAGCTTTGTTTCAGGGTCCATTTCTGGGGAACCCAAACCAAGACAAGCAGTTGCTCTGGGCAAGTGTCATTCAAAGGGTCCTGCAGACTCATGCTCATTCAGCTAACTGCTCTCACCTGCCAAATGGAGAAACTGAAGCTCTGACAACAGCCCTTAATCACCAGTCTCCACCCTCTGCTCTCTGCTCCTTCATCCCATCCATCTGGGTCACCATCTCCCAAACAGAGGTGAGGGATTGGCCCCTCACAAACCTCCTTCTGATCTGGGGGTGTCCTGGAATCGCTAAGAAAAGAACCCTCAGTCTCAGAACCCCCAGACTCCATCACCTTTCTAGGTCAAGGGAGGGAAAATGCCTCTGTGTCCTGAATCTTAGCAACAGCAGCAGCATAGAAATAAAGTGCCAGGAAATGTCTCAACAAACTACCCTCCCTCACAGGACTTAGGTTTGCCTTCATCTTACAAATGAGAGATCAAGCAGCCACAGCTGGTAAAACGATGAGGTTGGATTAGAAGGCAAGGCCTCACCCACCCTGCCCTGATGCCTCCCACCTGTCTCCGTAACAAGACATTGACTTACTTACACGTGTTTTTGCCCAAAGTGATAGCTAATCCCCTTCCTGTGGAATTAATGGTCCCATTTTACAGATCCATAAACTGAGACTCAGAGAGAGGCAGATACTTTTGTTTTCTCTCTCTCAGGGTCCTTCCCAGAGCCCCCCTTTCTTGGAGGCTATCCCAAGGCGGAAATCTATCATCTCAGCAGAGATTAGTCAATGAGAATAAACAGTGTTCAAGGGATGCTGCATTTGGGGCCTGGTGGGTAAGAAGTTGTGCTACCAACCCAAAAGTAGGCCATTCGAATCTACCAGCTGCTCCTTGGGAGAAAGACGGGCTATTTTCTCCCATGTGATTTACAGGCTCTGAAAACCTGCTGGAGAGACAGTTATCAGTGGTGTGTAACGACAACATTGTATTTGGTTGTTATGAGAGAGCTTTGGTGGCCTCACAGATAAGGAATTGTGCTGCCAACTCCAAAGTCAGGTGGTTCAAATGCATCAGCTGCTCTGCAGAAAAGCAGTCTCCACCTGTGCAATTACATTGTCTGAAAAGCCACTGAAGGGTCAGCGAGGAGCTGAGTTGGAGTGGTGCATGTACAGAGGCCAGGGCACTGGGGACAGAAAGCACACCTCCACGCTGCCATCAGCATCCTGCACTGCCCTTAGTGACTCAGACACAGAGATTCGATCCCAGAGCCCTTCTCTGCTCCAGCAAAGCTGGACAACCCTTGACGGAAACACTGACACTCAAGGAACAGAAATGTGGTGCAACCACCATCCTTTAAAGCAACTTCTAACCCGAAGCCAGCTGGCTCAGTGCTGGCCAGTCAGATCCCGCCAGTCGGTTTCCAAGGCTGTAAACCACAGAGGAAGCGATCGCCTCTCTTCCTCCCACAGAGCTACTGGAGGCTTGGAGCCACCAGAGAGGCGTCACCTTTGGGATAGTAGCACAACTCCTTACAGACCATGCCACCGAGCTCCTTGGATTTTTAAGATTCTAGAATAAGTATTCTCAATTAATTGTTATGCATCAGAGAGCTGGACAATATCTAAGGATGATAGAAGGATCAATGCCTTTGAAGAGTTGGAGTTTTGAATTGCTGGAGAAGTGTTGAACATACTGTGGACTGCTAGGAGAACAAACAGGTCTGTTCTGGACAGGGTGAAACCAGGCTGCTCCCTGCAGGAAGGATTTTGAAGTTCACATACTTTGGGCACGTGACCAGTCCTTGGAGAGGGATATCATGCTTGCAAAAGTCGAGAGACAGCGCAGAAGAGGAAGACCCTGGATGAGAAGGATTGACTCAGTGACTGGAGCAAAGGGATTAGGTCTGTCGGAGACAATGAGATTGGCTCAAGATAGGGCAGCTTTCAGAGCTAAAGTACATAGGGTCGCTGTGAGTTGAAGGCGACTTGAGCACACATAAAAACAGAATAAGCATAGTCTATCTAATGAGGGCTCCCAAATCATGTCCACATCAGCAATTTGCTTTTAACGTTAAAGTGTGAATTTTAGACCCAGACAATATTGATTGTATATTTCCTGTCCAGCTGCTGTGTTCTAGAATTCACCATCCCACAGTCACTTCCTCTGCCCTGAACTTCCAGGTGAAAAATGGAGTTTCACATATACCTTGGCCACCTCTCTGAGCTGTGAAAGAGAAAGGGCAGGAGAAAATATAAATGTTCTCCAGAAACGAGTCTCACCCACCATCTGGGGTATTAATGTAGAAGGCTGATGCTACACACATTCCCAGTAGTGGCCCCAGGATCCCCACAAAGAGGGCTTTGCGTACAATGTGTTTGGAAGTAGAGAATCTGGGTACTCAGATCTGCATTGCATAGTAGCTCCTGATGCCATTCATTGAATGGCCAATACCCTCTCTGGGCTGCTTGACCTTGAGCAAATTACTTAACCCTTGGAGTCTCCACTTCCTCATTTATAAAGTGGAAATTAAATTGAGTAACTTAAAAAAAAATCTTTCTGATGTACCAGATCCCACACTGACATCTATGTGAGTTGCTTCATTGAACCCCATGAGATCTGAAAGGTGTAAGTAGATGGATTATTCCCATTTTACAGAGGTGAGGCATGGGGCTCAGAAAGGGAAAGCAACTTGTCCACAGCCATGCATCTGCCACAAGAGAAAATTATGGCATGGGGTAAGTTCAGACAGCACATAGAGAAAGGATGTGGAGAATGACCACAAGGTGGTTGCCCCCATCCCCCACCAGGCCAGCCTCTGGCTCCTGCCTGCTCCTCCCACTAGGCTTTGAGGTCTGGGACTATTTATCACATCCTAATACATAATGGCCAACCTTTACCAAGGGCTAAAGGCCCCATCTCAAACTCTGCAACCCTGATGTCTTTCCAAAAGGAAAGGTTCCACCCCAAAACCACAGGGACACGCCTACTTCCTGGGGTCTGTGGGCCCAAACCCAGGCCAAGAGTCTGCCCTGTGGGCCTCAGTGACAGGCATTATTGGTTTTGGCCAGAAGCCCCTTGTCAGCCAGGGCCAGGAGGACCCCTTCCTTCCCTGAGAAGCTCCTTTGAGGGTGAGATCCAGCCAGGTGCCTGAACTTCCTGCTCACATGTCCCACCCTCCCCAGGCTTCAGAGCTGACCTTATAAGAGCTGTGTCTCCCAAGGAAGCTGGAGACAAAGACCAAGAGGGTTTCTGGGCAAGCCACTTCTTGTAGAGGTAAGGACAAGGAGGTCCACATAGGCATTTCTCAGGTATTTGTCGAGCACTTACAGTTATATTGATGTGGTACCTAGATTCCTACTGGCAGGTAATCTTTGATTCACATTTCAGCTCTGTCACTGACTATATGATGTCGGGAAGTCACTTCCCTCTGAGCCTCAGTCTTGCCATCTAAAAGGGCCTGATATCAGTGATCCCAGAACATTAGACGAGGACACAATGATCAGATGACACTTGGAATGACACGTGTGAAATGCTAGAGGCAGGATGAGTGGAGTCACTTGACGTGAGCTGACTGAGGGATGTACCTGGCAGAGGGACTCTTGAAAGGCTGGTTAGACACATGATGGATGCATTTAAAATGGAAAGTAAAATATGAATTGCTAATATTATGAGTTGAAGAGGTTTTTTTATAAGATAATATGTGTACCAATATAACAGTCCAAACGGCACACATGCAAGTAAACAGAGAACCTGGGTTCTAGGCACCACCAGGGTATTCATTGGAACTTCATGGTAGACTCAGCCACTTTGGGAGTCTCTTGTCCTGGCTTAGAAGCAGTGGTTACTCTCTGGGCGACTTCCAGAATGCTCGGAATTGCAGCGGAGGGGTTTGGTTCCAGATGGGATCTATCTGCTCAAAAGTAAAATCACCCATGCAGTCCCATGGGCTGCGCCCCCTGCTGGTGGTGGTGTGTCTAAGGTCTCCTGCAATCTTCTTTTTGGCCCTAAAACAGCATTTGCCCAACTATAAAGACCAAAAAGCAGACTGCAACAGGTGAAAATTCATGACAGTGGGGACAGTGGTATTACCTTGTGGGTATTGTAATTAGTGTTATAAAGTAAAATATGTATGTATAGTTGTATGAAAAGCCAGATGGCAATTAACTAAGTTGGTTTTTGTTTTTGTTTTTCATTTTTTTAGTGTGTGTGTGTGTACCGTCAAATCAGATCTGACTGGTACAGGAGGAGATTGCCCCTCCTTCTCCAGCAGAGCATCTGGTGGATTCAAACCGCGTAGCTCTGGGATTGCGGTGCAAATAAACTAAGTTTTTAAAATAAAAAAAAATACCCTTTTTGCCCTTTGAGCAAGGCTGGCGGGAACTAGAATATTGAAATATTATTTGAGTAGTTGGGAGCTTAGTGATAAAGAGTTGCACTGTCAACCTAAATATAGGTGGTTAAAGTTCACCAGTTGCTCCTCAGGAGAAAGCTGGGCAATCTCTTCCAGTGTCATTTATAACCTCTGAAAACCTTGCTATGAGTCGGCTTTGACTCGACAGCACATAACAACAACAGTTAGTAAAAAGGCGTGGTTTTGAGCCCCCAGATGCCTGCCCCACTACTCTACGCAGCACCTCCTCGAATATCTACTCTTATACCTCCTCAAGATCCAGAAAGTTCCGGGGTTCAAAAAAAGTTATGCAAAAAAAAAATTTTTTTTAAAAGACTTCTACAACTTTTAGCAGCACACGTCATTGTCCAGGGAATTTAACAGTTCTTGTGCGCTCACTGCTTGCTAAATTGTTAGGTGTATTCCTCACTCAATTTCTGACTATTTCACAGATGAAAAACTGAGGCTTGGAAAGGTCAAGCAACTTACTTAGGGTCATTTAATTTAGCAGTAGCAGAGCTGTTATTTGAAGCCAGCTCTGAGGACAGGGCCGGTTCTCTGTTCAGACGGACACACACACACACACACACACACACACACACACACACACACACGTGCAGTGGTGGGAAGTGGAAGTTGTGGTCAAGGACTAGCAGATCTGGAGCTGATAGAGGAGGCAAGGAGAGAAGGGAAGAAATGGTTCGAGGAAGGATAGAACTGGCAGACAGGAAACTCTGAGTGGGGAGGACATCAAGGGGCCCCTAGGATTCCCAGCTCTGTGCCTGTAGGTCGTGGCCAAGAAAATGCTGCTGCTCTGCGGGTCCCTACTGTGCTGGGCGCTGCTGCACCAGGTCCAAGGGGAGGCCCAGCACCAGCTCCACATGCAGATCAGCAACAATCAGCTGGAAACTGGTAAATCTTACTGTGTGCTCCGAAGGCAGGCACCCAGGAGAGAGTGCTGGGAGCAGGGAGAGGGGGAGGCGGCATGACATCACCTCGCTGCTCCCCATCCTGGCATTAAAGGCTCTGCATTTCCATGTTCCGCTGGCACCTAACCTCACCTGCCCTGACTGCCCTGTCCCGTAGACCTCCCAGCTGCCCTGCCTTTGCTAATGCTGTTCCTTCCACCTGAAATGCTCTTTCTCTCCCTACCACATTGAGTTCTGACTCATTCTGTAAGACGGAACTTCCGCGGCCCCTCTGCCAGAAAATTCCCCCAATTTCCCTCAGCACAAGTCCCTTCTTACCCTGAGTTCTTGGTTAAATCCTCTTCTATGCACTTATCCAAGTGTGTTATACCTGTTGTCCTGTCTGTCTGTCTGTCTATATGTCTGATTGCCTGTCCCTATAGTAGACTGAGCAGCTGGGTGTCCGCCCACCTCTTACAGTGTCCACCATGTCCCCAGTCTCACTAATCTTTGTTTTATAAACTCACCTGACTTGTTCTCATCACAGGGCTTTTTCTTGTTCCCTCCACCAGAACTGATCTCCTGAATTTTTCCATAGTTGATTCCTTCCCTTCCCCAGCCATCTGTCCAAAATCATCTTCCCCCTCCCACGTTCCATCTCAACTCATGTTTTATTTTCTTTGTGGCCCTTATCACTTTCCTTAATGGCCTTGCTGGGCTGTTGTCTGTCTCCCACATAGAGCTGTAGACTCCATAAAGGCAGGAGCCTCCTCACTTCTGTTTCCCCAGCCCCAAAGACAGTAAGCGCTTAATAAGTACTTATTGTTGAATCTAAATGTCTGGCTCCAAGCAGCCGCTAGCCAGTGTTTGCTGAATGACTGAGTGAAGGGTGAAGGCCCACACCAAGAGGCTTGTGTCCTCAGGAATTTCAGACCTGTTCTTAAATCACAAAATCCTGGAGCGAGTAGAGAAGATCCCGGTGACGGGGACCGAGAGTGAGGGAGTCGCCATCCTGGACAACTTGCCCTTCGTCAAAGAAGACCTCTCCAAGCAGAGCAGCGGCCTTGACCTGTCCCTTGTCGGGGACCTGCTCTCAGGGAAGAAGCTCTCGATGCTGGCAGAGCTTATCCGGGGAGGCGGGTGAGTCCTTGAGGCTGCCTTCAGCCTTTCTTGTTCCCCAAAACTCAAAGTCATCACTGTCAAGTCAGAGCTGACTCACAGTTGTCCCTCCATTGGGTTTCCAAGTCACGTGGGAGGAAACAGCCCCTTTCTCCCAAGGAGCTGCTGGTGGGTTTGAACCACCTGAGAGGCTCAGCCTTTAGCTTAGCAAAGCAACTCCCTCCAGACTCGATCATGAGAGGAAGCACCTGTTTCCCTGAGCCTCAAAGTTCGCACTGGCCAAGTGGAGCTGGTAATGTGGGTCCACCTTACAGAGCCAGTAGAGGCCAAGTGTCCTTCGAGGTTCTCCACAGGCTGAAAAACACAAAGCAAATGAGTTTTTATGGTTCCTAAATCACTCTGTGGAATCTAAGAACAAAAGCCAAACTGTTAAGTCCCACTCACAGAAATGCTCTTTCAAACTCTGAAGCTGTAAAACTTTACAGGAGGAGATGACCCGTCTTTTAGCCCATAGAGTATCTGGTGGATTCAAACCACTGACCGTTTAGTTAACAGCCTGATACTTTATACACTGTGTCATCAGGACTCCTTTTCTAAGACTCAAAATCAGAGAACTCAACCTCATAGTCCTTCCAGCCACTTTCAGCCTACACTTATGTTTTGTAAATATGCAGTTTTTATAAATATTTTCATTTTCAGCAAATAAATTCAAGGTTTTCATCAAAATCTGGGCTTCTCAATTATCACTAGAAATCAAAGATCTGGCCACACCTGGGCCAAGATTGCCCATGAGACAATAATGGGTGCTAAGACCATAGCCCCTAAGTCGATCCCCAGCCACCTCCTCCTGGCAAGCTTGTTGGAGACACTTGTAAAATAACCAAGGACATAAATGAAGGGCATGTGTATACAGGGTTACATATTTCTGCATGGTCGGTCTACTCAGGGAGCATCCCTCTGTATCTAACCCCAAAGAGGGCAAGAAAGCCATAAGGGTCCTGAGATGCAAAATCCAGCGATGCTTTTTGATGGGATGAAATGAAATGCTCTGTGAAGGGTAGAGACAGTGCTCAGAGAGGCTGTATTGTGGAACTTGCCCTTCCCCCAGCCCAGGCCTTCTTGCTTCACACCAAGGCCAAGGCCACTCACTCACTCCAGCCTGTGTTTTCTCAATGCCTCCTCATACTCTTACTGGCACAAGTCATCTGCTTGGGAGGGCCATAGTGGCTGATGGGTGTGTGTCTACGGAAAGCCCCATGAGGTCCAGGTCATTCTTGAAAACCTTTTCAGGAGGCTCCATGCTGAAGGGGGCACACAATCTTCAGGAAGCTTGACTCAGTGGAGCATCACCAAGTACTTGTCACTAGCTCCCGTGGCACCAGATGAGTCCCCCATGTGCACATAATGCCCAGAAAGTGTGTCAAGCTCCAGGCTCCCTTCAGCTCAGAGGGACACATGCTCCCTCCTGGATGTCTAGCAATGTTAAAAGGGTTTGCCGATGGCAGTGGGGTCACAAGCCATCTGTCTCCCCAGACTCACACACAGCTTTATTTTGCAAAAGATTTATGTTTACATGTAGACGTGTTAATGTATGGAGACAGCTGCTCCAATGTATTCTCCTATTTTGTAGAGAAGCCCTGAGAGGGGAGGGATTTGTCCATGTCAGGGAGGGGTGGGGGCTGGAACTAGGATCCACTGTTCTGAGACAGCTAGGGGTCAAGAGAAAGGGCTCCTCCAGAGCTGCCTCAAACCCCCTGGAGTCTCTTCCCCATCCCTCCTGGAGCCTATCCCTTCCCTCCTGAGGGCTGCCCTTTGTCCAGCCAGTAAAGACACAAAGTCTTTGTCAGGCCACAACCAGAGGAACAGCCTCTTATCCAGGCTTCTTCTTGTTGCTCTTGTGTGCCGCTGAGTCAGAACCAATCCACAGCTGATACTCCAGCAGGGTTTTCAGAGGTTGTAAATTGCACAAGAGGAGATTGCCCATCCTTCTCCCAGGGACCAGCATCCTAGCTTAGCCAACCCCAAAGGAAGAGCACTGCAGATCAGAAACACACCAGCATCTTCAGCAGAAGAACTGGACTCGACTAGGCCGCACAACCTTCAAGTGTCAATCTACCCATCAGCACAAGGAAAGAAATTATAGCCCAGCTCCATGGCCCAGTGTCCAGCACTAGAGGCTCCCAAACCCAGCAAGAAGTGAATGACTCCCTGCCCCTAATCCACCCCTCCGCTTGCACGTCTACAGGTTGATTATAGAAGATGCAAAAGGTCCCACGGTCAACCTGAAAATCCTGGAGGACAGTCTGTTACAGGTCACATTGCGCTGCAAACTGTACCTGTTACTCCAGGGGTGAGTGCGTGGTGGGGGCTTCCTCCCCATCAGCGTGGGTCCCGGGCTGCCTGACCCCTCACTGTCAATGCATGAGAGGTAGCCAGGCAGAGCTCACAAAAGCCACCTCATATCACCATTATCCTTTTTTCTCAAGCACACTGCAAATTCCATGGGGAAATGGAGACAGAGTGGCAAAAAGGCCTGCTCAGGTTGACACAGGATGTTGGTGACAGAGGCTAATGTAGAACCTTCTGTATTACCTTTGGCAGGGGACACTAGCCCTGGCGGAGATAATGGGCAGACAGATAATGAGTCAGAATGATCTGAGAAGCAGCTGAGACAATTTCACCTCAAAGCCCAGCATGTGTGCTCCAATCCCACCTACCATCTGGGTTACTTAAGCAAAGGGCTTTCCTTCCTTCAGTTTCCTCATCTATATAACAGGTATAATCAGGTTTCCAACAGCATGGGACTGACTGTTCTGAGGGTTTACTGCCCAAAAAATCCTAGACTGTGGATGATTTTACAGACCTGGGGTTGGTGACCAGAATAACAGCCAGCAAAGGAAGAGACCCCTACACAGTAAATAAGAATATTTTAAGTACCTCCTGGGCTCAGGCCCGCTCCTATTTGTTTTGTGCAATATGGCTTCCCTGGTTTGTCTTCGCTTCTCAATTGTGATAAAAGTACAAATACTCTTTAAATAAAGACGCAGGCACAGAGAAACATTTCTTTGCTATAAGATAAACATATCACTTCCCTTGTGAGTTTGTTCTAACTCACGCCAACCCTCTACTGGATTTCTGTGACTATAAATTATGTGGAAGGAGGCTGCCCATCTTTCTCCTAAAAAGCTGCTGGTGGATTTGAATTGCTAGAGATTTAAGACTTCCGGTACAACTTGGTATGGACTGTATTAAATGCACTGTAGCACTTGGCTTGGTGGGACTATGACAGATTCTCCCCTCTGAAGGTCACCCTCAGTCCCAGGTGATTGATTGACACTGTATAAAGTTGCTGGTCTCGGTTTGTTGGAGCCTTCACATTTCCCAAAGGGTGAAATTTATATATGCAATGAAAATCTTTTCACTTTCTCGCTTTCACCCGCCAGGTACCCCAGGTTGTCCTGGAGGCCACCAGCTTGTGACTTCAGGTCTTAGCCTAGGGCCATGGCATGGAGCCCACTCAAGCATGCTGTTCTTACAGGATCCTGCGGCTTGAAATCATTAAGAACATCCGCATTGGGATGCGGCTGGAACAGACAGGGAACAAGACTAAGGTGGCCTTCGAGGAGTGTCATACCTCTCCAGGATACCTGAGCATCAAGGTTCTCGAGGAGTGAGTACCAGTCAGCCCCACATGGCCTTCCTGGCCTTCCTGCACCAACCCCCACACTCAGCGCAGGGCTGCTTCTGTCTGGAATGATTAGGGGGTTCAGAGGCAGATGGCTTTCTAGGACCACAGCCAACACACACTGCCAAGTTGAATGTCATAAGTAAAAGCTTAGACACACCCAGGTTCGAATCCTGGCATGGTATTTCATAGCAATGGACCCTGGCCCTGTGATCTGACTTCTAGGACCCTCAGTGTCCTCACCAGCAAAATGGAATCATTGCCATCATTCAGCCAGATAACGCCTATGACCTCCTTAGCACAGAACCTACCATGTAAGGTGCTCCTTATTCACCACTCTTAGAATATGGATAATATAAACCTTAGCCATCAAGTTAATTCCAACTCTATAGGATGGAGTAGGATGACCCCATAGGGTCTCCAAGGCTGTAAATCTTTACTGAAGCAGATTGTCACATCTTCCTCCCACCGAGTGACTAGTTGATTCTAACTACCAGCTTTTTAGTTAGCAGCCACTGTGCCACCAGGGTGCCTCTTTGTAAATTTATCCAGGACAAAAGCCACCTCCTCTAGAAAGTCTTCCATGATATCCCACTGCCAAGTGTGATCTTTCCCTGCTTAAAAAAAAAAATCCCTGGGACTTTAATGAGAGAAAAAATAGAGAGACAGAGACAGTGAAAGAACATCTGGAAGAAGTCATGAAAAGAAGCAGCAAGTGGGGAGAGAGAAAAGAGGAAGCAGAGGGGATGATAAAAATCTCATTTTCATCAAGTTGAGCCAACTCAGCCAATCCTCCAGTGGGTTTTCAAGAGGCTGTAAGTAACAAAGGAGGAGAGTGCCCATCTCTCTCCCATGGAGTCGCAGGTGGATTCACTTCCTACAGACTGCACCACCATTGAGGGCAGAAAAGAGGGGTGAGGAGGTGAGGGGCACCAGGTGAAGAGGGAAGCAGCCACTCTGAACATCCATGCTGCACAGGGCCTGCGGGAGGGGTGCTCCTCAGCTCACACCCACCAGCCGCCCCCTGTCCCTAGGATCGACCCTCTCCTGGTGAACACGGCTCTGACGCTGGTGACGAAAACCTTGGATACAGCTTTGCCCTTCCTCTTGCAGAAGATAGTGAGTTTCTTCCTCTCCCCTCACGCTCTGGGGGGGCATGCTGCAGAGGGACCTCGCTGGACCCTGTTGAGAACCCTTATGCTTGCCCTGTAGGTGTGTCCCATGTCCACCACCCTGCTTAACACACTGCTGGAAGGCCTGCTGCACCTCACTCTGCGTATGTCACTTCTGGCCAGGGAAGGAGAGAACCAACAGGTCAACCTGTCCACAGGAAGTGCCCTTTCTAGTGGGGGGAGAAACAGCAATAATGCTTATGACCACGATAAGTCATTTCCTGTCAGTAAAATAAGGATTAGACTGTTACAACAATGCATACAACCCGGCACAAAGTTATTGCTCAATTAAGTGTCCTTTGTTATAAGGCGTATAGGTAGGATTAGCCCTCAGCAGTTTAAAGCTAAAGAGAGAGACAGAACAAGCTTCTCCCTGAGTCACTCTCTCTCTAAGACCCTCCCAGGGAGCCTGGACCCCAGTCCATTTCCTCATTGTAGCCCCAACCAGCTCGAGCCCCAACAATGCCTTCCGGTACTACGTCAACACAACCGAGCTCACAGAAGAGGCCATCCTGATGACAATCCAGGTGAGCTGTCCCTGCTCTGGAAGGTGAGCAAAGAGGAAGGTGAGGTGGCGCTTCTCTGGGACAGATGGACATGGGAGGAGAAAGAAGAGACGGGAACAAAAAGGAGGTTATAGGCAAAAGTGGAAGAAGAGAAGGCAGGAAGGAGAATAGGGAGTCCCATCTCAACACTGGATGCCAGGAGAGGCGAGGCCACAGGGCTCCAGGGAAGGAGACATGGGTCAGGCTCCTTCCTGTACGAGGCTAGGCAGTGAGGTCAATAGCTGTAGGCCACACCAACACCTCAGGCGGATGGGATCCCTCAGAGACCGACAGAAGTCCAAAAAAGGGCTAGGGATGGCTGCATCTGCATGACTCCCCATTCCCCACCCCTTGCTACATCCTATGGGAATGATCAGGCATGCCTCAGGAATATACTAAGATGAAGGATTTGAACAAATAGGGAGGGGCTGTTAACACAGGCACAGTGGTGGGGAGGGGGACCAAGCAAAGGAGAGGCAAGGATCCAAAGGCCAGCTCCATTCTTGTCCATGTGGGGGATCCTGGGGAAGTCACTTCACCTCTCTGGACTTTGTTTGCGCCATCTGTCAAGCAGGAACTATGGTGATTCCTGCCTGGTGAGATTCTGTGGGGTTCACATCGTGAGTCTCCCGTACATCAGATATAATCAATTTTTGGCCAGCCAGGCCGCTTCCACTGAATGTCTCACCCTCTTTATTCTTCTGAAGCTGGTGACGCCCTGCGGCCCAGGCCAGAGAGCCCCGAAGTCTGTCCACTTACCCTCGAAGCCACTCCCAAAATTAGCCCGGGACAGCATGGCAGACCTGGTCTTTTGGGGGAAAGTCTACAATAATATCCTGTTCTGCCTCTACACAAATGAAACCATCCGAGTGGACCCCCACGACTCCACAGTGAGTATGTAAGGAAGGGGACTAGCGGGTGGGAGAGAACTCTATTTTTAACATAAGGAAACCAAGGTACAGATGGTGAAAGGCCTTGTGAGGTGAGTTTGCAGGAGTCATTTAGCTCCTGCTATGCCTTCAGAACACTCACCCATTCATTTTTGCAACAAGGTTTATTGGGGCATCAATAAGATGGATTGACAGAGGTGTACCCATGGACTCCACCATGTCAGAGATGGTGAGGATAACGCAAAGGGTTGCTCTAAGTGATATTCAACTTGATGGCACCTAACACAACAACTGCGTGTCAAGTCCTATGTACAAAGAGTCCCTGACTTGTAGAGCTCAGCGGCTTGTGGAGATAATAGAAACCGAACAGGAAAGCAGTCAGATACATAAACTATTTGTTCTTACTGAGAACACACAGGCCAATGACAAGCAAGTGGCTGGTGCGAGTGTGAAGGCTTCCCAGGACTCTGAAGTCATGGAAGTCCTCTCTGAGGAGGTGGCCTGAACCGTGACAAGGACACAGTTCCCACTGCAGGTGGAGGAGGGTTCAAGTGTAGATACATCATCAAAAGGCCTCGTCATACCCTGTGTAAAATCCAAATGAAGTGCATGGCCTGGCTCCTGCTCCCCTCCCCGTCCCCGTCTACTCCCACTCTCCCCTCACGCACTGTACTCCAGCCGTGGAGGCCGAGTGCACCTTTGCACCTGTCGGCCTCCCTGCCTCAGTACCCTTTCTTCCACTGCTAGTCTCAGTGCGAATGACCTCTCCTTGGGAAGCCCCTCCTGGACCACTGAGTCTAAAATGAGCCCTTAATAGGTAGATAGGTGGATGGATGGATGGATGGATGGATGGATGGATGGATGGATGGATGGATGGAGATCTGGTGTCCTAGTGATAAGAAGTTGTGAAGTTGTGCTTCCCAAAGGCAGGCAGTTCGAATCCAACAGCAGAGATGCCACAGGAGAAAGATAAGAAACCTCATGTGATTTACAGCCTCTGAAAACACCCTAGAAGTTCAGTTCTGAGTTGGTTCTGACTTGATAGAACTTAATATTATTTAGTTGTTATTTCAGGAGCTCTTGTAGCATTGTCCATAGATAGCTACGCTGCTCACCCAAACCACATGCCCCTCTGGAGATGCATACTCCCTGCTGCTCCAAGGGAGAAGGATGAGCAGTCTTCTCCTGTTTTATCTATAACCTTGGCAAACGATTCTGGGTTAGCTGAGTCTCCTGTCACTGCCACTGAGGCAGCACTGCCTCATAGCTGTCCGTCCAGAGGGTTTCAGAGGCAGTAAATCCCATGGGAGGAGCTTGCCCATCTTTCTCCCGCAGAGCCACTGGTGAATTTGAACTATTGGAGAGGTGCAGCCTTTGGGCTGGCCCTGCAACTTCCTACAGACTAGACTCCCCAGAACTCACTCTCTGTATAAACACACATATATTCCTGAATCTCCTACATTTCAAAGGTAGGGACTTCGAACTATGTATTGTATGATAGGCATAAAGTAGATGTACAGTAACTATCTTATGAATAAACTATATCCTACAGCTGATATCTGAAAGCTGGAGCTCTGGGGACCTAGGAGGTAAGGAGTTGCACTGCCATCCCAAAGGCAGGTGGTTCTAATCCACCAGCTGCTCCAAGGGAGAAAAATGGGCAGTCTCCTTCTGCGCCATTTACACCCACTGAAGAGTCAGCTGTGAGTTTTTTCTGACTCGGCAGTGATGAGAGGTTAGTTCATACTTGAAAAGAGGTATACTATTCTGTTCCAGCATCTCACAGAACCCAGAATTTCTCAGCTTGCTCAGGACTCAAAAGCCAAACACATGCTTTATTCTTTTCTAGGCTATCAACCTCATTCAGCTATTGTTGCGGAGAGAGCTGCAGCCCGAGTCCAAGGTGGGTGTGTCCCCTCTCCTCACCTTAGAGAAGTTCAGGACTCTTAGGAAGGTTACTGGGGGTGAGGGCTGGACCAGACCACAAGGCTGGTTGCATTTGGTGGAGCCTTCCTGCTGTGAAATCCACTAACCGCAGCACCTACTTCACAAGTGAAACAGCAAGCAAGTAAGGCACTGTGCGCTGCACCCAGGCCATGCCTGTGACCATCACGATCACTCATTATTGAACAAGACCCCAACCCTGAGACAGACATCTCACACGATAGATAATAGTGAACAACCCCCTTGATGCACGTCAGCTTAAGCCTCCAGCAATACTGCACAGTCACCCCTTTTTACAGGTGAGCAAATTGAGGCTCAACAAATAAACTCCCATGTGGAAGCTCATGCTGTCTAGGAAGGGGCAGAACCAGGTTTCGATCTCGGTCCTCTGACTCCAAAATGCACTCTTAGTCTCTGACAATGCCCTCCCTCCAAAGGATCTGAGACTATGCCCCTGGTGAACAATAATAACAGAACGTTAAGAGCTGATATAATTATGTGATTATATGCTAGGTTCCATTCTCAGTCCTTAACATAACTAGTCCATTTACTCCGCACCAAAATCTTCTGGGATAGGGTGCAATTCTCACCTCATTTTACAAATTTGATGATTGAGGCACCAAGATTAAGAAAGTTGCTTCAGAAACACAGCTTGTAAATAAGTGGTACTCTTGGGCATCTACCTTCAATATCTATGTTTTTACCTACTGTCCATGCCCAGGAAAAGGAGCTGCTCACCCCCACCTTAGAGAGGTTCAGGGAGAGTAAGTGAAAAACCCAGAAAACTGGCTTCTAAGACTGTCTTGTTTCCATCCTCCAAGCTGAGGGTCAAGAGAAACTAATCTCCCTCCTCTACCCAAACTTTTCTGTTTCAACCTCATCAGACTGAGGCAAGTGTGGGCCTGACCATCAATATCTCTGACCCTCCCACCATCCACCTTGACAACCACGTGATCACAGTCACCCAGCCGGGCTTGTTGGTGCTGCAAGGTCCCCAAAATGCCTTGACTTCCATTTCCTGGGTGAGTGAGACAAGGCATGCTTCGTTCCTTGGTGGCCTGGGTCAGATGTGAGGCCACCCTTCAGGGTATAGGAGGGACACAGCCACCCTCATCACCATGTAACCCACTGTGACCCAGTAGGCCATACATGGACTGTACCTGCTGTTAAAGCATTTAAATACTCAAATACCTCAGTCCACCCCCACCCCCGTGCTACTCAAAGACTTCCTCAGCAAAGGATCCAGCGGGTGAATTTGTTGGGCTGGTTGTTTATCTTCTCTGGATGCGTTAAACCACTGAACACAGACTGAGAGGAAGTTCAGAAGGACACTGTCTCTTTGTGGAAAGGATCACTATGCCTGAGTTCCTCTCTTCCACAGATGAGGGTGACACAGGAATTCTGGAGACACAGCCTCTGAAAGTTCCAACTTCTCCATTCTCAGCCCTGCACAGTTCCTATTTCTCATTCCATAGAGATTGCAGTTAGAGAAAGAAAGGCCTCAGACAAGAGAGAATAAGAGCTCGCCCTGCCATCTCAGTGTAAATGGCAGACTCATGGGATCTTACCTGGCCTGACTCTATTGTCCCAACTGTGGATGGAAGTATAAGATGACCATGTGAATTCTGAGGGTCCACAGGGACTTTAATGTTGAGTGGTTCTTGCTGTAACGACTTTCCCGCCTCTGAACTGAGCCATTCCACCTACATCCGGCTCCATCACTGTCTGCCCTGTCCTCCAGTGTCCCCCACATCTTCCTGTGTCCTCACTTACACCACGTCTGAACACACGTGAACCAACAGTTGAAGAAGGAAATGTCCAGGGGGAAGAGGAGGCACAGGATTAGGGGGTCAACTCTGGAGGAAAGCTCAGGGGCTGGGAGTGAAGAAAGTGTCCCTGATAGCTGGCACATGAGTCACTCTTGTTCTGACCTAACTTCAATTCCTCACAGAAACTCCATTCTGAAGCTGTGTTCTCTACAAGAAACCGGAAATTAAATATCCAGTTTAATCCAAACAGGTGACATTTTTGGGTTTTGATGTTCAGGGAAAAATAAGATGACTGACAGAGATAAAGAGGTGACGCCAGGGAGAGTGTGGTACAGGTTTCCGTGCCTGCTGTCATCTCAGGATAGTGGGACAGTATGACCTGTAGAAAGAGGGAGGGAGGGGAGCGTCATGGTCAAGGCTAAAGGCTTTGGAGCCAACAGACCTGGAGCCACATCCGAGCCCAGCAGCTTCCCTGCTGTGTGACCTTTGGCACGTGGCATACTCTCTCAGTGCCTCAGCCTCCCCCTCTGCACGCTGTGTTATTATGAGAATTCACTGAATTCAAGTATGTGACAACGTGCTTGGCACTCAACAAATGACAACCAGGTACTTGAGAGAAAGAGATGCAGGTGAAAGTAGGATTCTGTGGCTTTAAAATTAAGACACTGGCAAATCCTTCACGCTTCAGTTTGCCCCTAAATGCCAGCTGAAAGCATAGGGCCTTTGCATAGTCAGGGAGTTTCAACATGAGCCAATTATCTCTAAATAATCCATGCCATGTCTTTCTAAAACACCTACTATGTACTCAGCCTTCACAATGTTTGGGAACAAGTTTGGAAAACAAAACAGGGCAAAAAGAAAGCAAGAACACTCGAGGCATTAATATTATTCCCATCAGATTGCAGGCTTTGGTTAAAAGACATTCTCACCCTAGTATGCCCTGCCTGAAACACCTACTATGTGCTAGTTATTGTGCTAAGAGTTTTGCATACCTGGTCTCTGTACGAGAACCTCACAGCATCCCCAGAGATGTGTATTACTAGGCCCATTTAAGAGACGAGGAAACTGAGATTCAGCGAAAGAAAGTGATTTGTTCTAGGAAGTGGTAGAGCTGGTATTTAAACTCAAATCTGTCCATATCCTACTTCAGGGCAAGATTACCAAACACTGAGTGATTGGAAAGTCCATAAGGCAGAGGAGAAACCTGTATGGGGAGCTGGCTGTGTGAGGGAAAGGGAGGAGAGTGTCACGGCCTAAAACTTGGTTGGCAAATGGAGCCATGGATCCTCAATGCACCCAAGGCAGACAGCTCTAACTAATCTTAGCACTCTCTCACAGAGCCCTGAGGCTGTCTCTGAATTCTTTCCATCACAGTCTTGGCCAAACACATCCAGGGCACTCAATGTTCTGGCGTATTTCCCGCTCTCCTCCCCCCCGCTCCGCCCCATCTTTTCACTTCTCATCTGAAAGAAGAAGAAAAAAAAAAGACAGCTGACAGGATGGGTAGAGATGAGGAAGAGAAGAGAGATTAAGTTGACTGAGTCAGTGCTAAGGCATCAAAGTGTAGCATTCAGCCCATTGCTTCATCCAGGGCCAGGCTGGCAGAACACTGGCAATGCCCAGCAGCTAAGTGCATTAGTGGCTTAAAGCTGGGAAGAGGGCCCACAGTATCTGAGACACCAGGCAAGAGCCGAGCAGGTGGATGGTCAGCCAGCTTGGGGTTGCTCATAAAGCAAACATCATTTGAGAAGGCCTCGGGGCATCCTTCATCTCTTGAGATTCCAGAAGCAAACTTGTTTGACTGTTTTCCAACTGGGAATCATAGAGAAGACTTAGGAGAGCTAACACAAAATCCATTTTTACTAGGGTCACTTCCATCTGGGGATCTTTCATTAAATAGTAGATAAGAGTGTAGTCTTTGGCAAGAGACTCGTGTTCTCTGAGCTTCCATTTCTCAATCTGTAAAAGAAGGTATTTGTCAAATACAGACTGTCAATAAGGCAAAATGCCATACACACACAAAATTCTTAGTAGTGGTTATAGCCAGCACTCAATATACACTAGTTATTCCTATGGGGATGGCTAATTATTTTGTTCTGGGTCTCCAGAACAAAATAATCTGGTATCAGGGGAAGAGAGGGTGAGACTCCAAAGGAGAAATCTGGTGGTACTCCAAAGACAGACAGATGTCATAGCCATCACTCATCACGCATGAACAGTTGAGAAATGAACAGAACTGTGGTGACAATTAGACTAGACGGTCCAAGCACATAGTAGGTGCTCTGATTTATGTTGGCTGCCATTACTATTTTATAGTTTCATATTTTTTACTCTTTCACAACTTATATTCAATCCTCACCACAATTTCCAGGGCAAATGGGTCCAGGAGGAAATGATGTCTGATGTACTTACGAGGGAACCAAAGTTCAGAGAGGTCTAGGGAGCCAAGCTGCTGAGGGCTGACCCCCACAAGCAGCTGCTACAACTAAAAGCAGTGGTCTCTTTTCTCTCTAGCCTTACGATCACACTGGGGTCCTACCCTGATGACCTTGTGAACCAGGTGAGTATCTTCCCTTGGCCTTGACCTCTCCATGGTCCTGAAAGGCCCACAAACTGACCCATGTCCTTGAGATGGAAAGCCTCATTCACTTTCTACCACTGATCTCACCTTGCTCTGAGATCCCCATGTCCATTGGTGGGGACAGGAGACAAAGGCATTTCATCCATTCATACGCTCAACAAATCTTCAATGTGCATCTAGTATGTGCCTAGCTTTGGCTTAGGTACATGGAGTGGACTGGTGAAGAAAACAAAAGGCCCTGCTGTAATGGTGAGGTCAGCTAATAAACATAATAAAGCAAATTTGTATAACATATGAGAAGTTGATCCAGAACAAGCCAGTTCCTGTCAAACGTATTCTAACTCATAGCAACCCATGTGCTGCAGAGTAGAGTAGGGACCCTTCAGGTTTCCAAGGTCATGGTGACCTTTTGAATGCTTATCACCAAGGTTCTTTTCCAAAGGTCTTCTGGGTGAGTTCAAACCACCCACCTTCTAGCTAATAGTCAAGGATCCAACTATTTGTGCCACCCAGGAACTCCAGGAAGGTGGCAGTTCTATAGAAAGAGGAAAAGATCCCATGTACAAAGGTGGAGAAGGAATTATTAAGCAGGGAAAGTCTCATTAGAAGGTTAGATTTGAAGAAAGAAGGAGATGAGGAAGAAACCTTGGAAATATACAGAAGAGCCCCAAATATGTCAGAAAGGCTCAGGGAATAACCACCAATGTGCCTGGAGCCAAATGATTCAGTGGGGCATGAGAGAAGGGCAGGTCATAGTGGGGAGCTGGCCTTTCCTCTAAGTGTGATGGAAATTCCAAGAAAGTCCCAAGCAGAGCAGGAGCCCCCTGGCCATCCTGAAAAGAGGGGACTAGAGGGGACAGGTGATCCAAGGGGGTCAGCAAGAAGGCAGGTAGAAAGATTCAGTGGGGGCTGATGAGGTTGGCTTAGGGTGCTGGGAGAAATCAGGAACAGGACGTCTTCTGAAGGTGGAGCTGACAAGACTTCCTGATGGAATGGAGAAGGGATAGAGTGAAAGCCGTCCAGGATGACGGCTGAGAATGTTAGGAGCATCTCCTTTTCAACAGCTTGAAAACAGTCTCTTTGGGGGAAATATTCAACCAATTCATAGTTCGCACCCCTGCAGGACTGTGTCCCTTCTCTGGGCTTTAACTATCTTTGTCCTCATGCATTACGTGGGTTTCTGCTATAACGTCACTGGTCAGGGTCCTCTCCATCCTCCCTGTTGCCATGACTGACAAGTCCTGTGTGGGTGGATGACATAGTCTCAGCCCCAGGAAGATTGTTCTTACTTCTAAACTAGCTGAACCCTCAACACCCCTGCCTCTCCCTTCCATTTTCCCAACCTTAGGGCCATCCCACCACCCTCCACTTCCCCAGGACTGGTAGCCTCATGCCTTAGCCCTACTGAGGGAAGGCTGAAAGACAGAAAACAAAACAAATTCCTTTGAATGAGAAATTGCACTGAGAAGGACTTCAAAAACTTTCCAAATATGCCAGATCATTCGCCTTCTTTCCTTCCACAGACTACCAAGATTGAGAGATCCAAAAGATCACAACAACATCAGAGAGCAGTCATGCAGACTAGGCCTGCCATGCGTGGTTGGGCAAGTTGTGCACTGCACAAAGTGTCACAGCTCGGGAGGAGTCACCACTCATAGCACAGTGACTGAAAGTATCATGTTTGTCATTGGTTCTCAACAAATGAGAAAAGATTGTCATCAAGGAAGAGAGTCTTGGCTCAATCTTCCCAGATGTGCCGGGATAACACTGACCCTCATAAACTATTCTGGTGGATGAAGGGTCCCTACTACATTGAGACAATTTCTCCTGTTAGAACTCTCTTGGCATCGGAGAGCTTCTCCTTGGGCTGACTCAAAGTGCATCCTTGGGAAGCTTCGGCCCTGAGGTCCCACAAAGCAACCAGCTTCCCCTTCCCCAGAGCTGATCAGCAGGATATGGAGACAGTCATCAAAACCCAGAGTGAGAGCATCTTTTATCCCAGCTCTCACCCTTCCCCAGTCACTTTACTACTCATGTTACCTGTCTCCAGTGTCCTTTTAAAAAGCAGTCCTGAGGACTTCTCTTGACCCCTGTGGGCATTAGCACACTGAGATGTTCCCCCATATCCACAGTCAGAATCTGCCAGCCCAGCTGAAGTGACCTGTCTGTCCCTTTTACCTTTTGCAAAAGGAATATCTGAAGTCCTCTCTCTCAGAGCTTCTGAAGAAGATGTTTCTGGCCCAGTTCAATGGTGAGTCACATCTTCTTTTTCATGACTCATATACTACAGATCACGTAAGTTGGGGCAGCACCATCCACAGCCAGGACATCAACATATTCAGCTGACAGCTGATTGCTGCCTTGTCGCCTGGGGTCTGTCCTCAGGGACAGCTACAAACAAGGTAGATTCTGGGGCCCAGGGCGTCACAGAGGAGGGGAAGGGATGTCTGAGTCCTCCTTGGGCAGGACCTAAGGGGTGGACGTTAGTGTTATGTAATGTCAGGACTCTGGAGAAGAGTCCTCAGAGGCAAGGAAGCCCAGGGTGTACAACCCCAATGTTCATCACCAAACGGAGCAGACCAGGTGGGATGTGTGGCACGGTGAGGAGGGCATGCCTTGCCAATGTGTCAGCTGAATGATGGCTCAGTTGAATGATGTCAGTTGGGCAGATTTTTTTAAATTCTTTTTTCATTATTATTATTTTTTTGTTTGTACCATCAAATTGGATCTGATTGGTACAGGAGGAGATTGCCCCTCCTTCTCCAGCAAAGCATCTGGTAGATTTGAACCACATACCTCAGGGGTTGTAGTGCAGTTTCTTGCCACTCTGCCACCAGAGCTCGCTCCAGATTTTTTTTTAATCTTTTGAGAGACACCAAAAAAATCTGAACTTTGTGATACATCACCCCTGTCTTTAGATGTCAATAACAAATTCAAATTTTTGTATCATCTTTGTGTAGACTCTCTCCAAAGCAGATTCTGCTGAAGAAGCACACATTGTGGGAAAGTGACTTATCTGGAAATGTACAGCCCAGGCTTCCCATACAATCTGTTTCACAATCACCCATCTATCCACAGGGTGGTCAATGCCCACGTCCCCAACCAGACAAAGCTGACTCAGTCAGGGACTCCACCTGTATTTGGATTTCCCATTCCTAGCATTTTGCTCAGTGCCTGGTGTCCAAGAGGTTCTTAGGAAATATATGAAATATAAACATTTCAGATCCCAGAAATCACCTGGCTCAATGTCAGATGCTCCACCCTCATAATACACACAGTCCCAGAGAGGTCAGGTTACTTTCCCAAGGTCACAGAGTGAGTCCTTGGCAGAGCTGAGTCCAGAACTCTGGCCTCTTGTTTGCCTGATAGGTTTGTCTCTGTGTTCTCACTCGAGGACTCAGGATGGGATGCAAAGTGGGGTTACAGCAGGTAGGGGCTGAATGCAAACCAGTCCAAAGGGATTGGCATCACCCATTCACCCCAGGACCATGGCAACCAGGGACTGGTTCTAGGCATGCAGAGAGAAAATCTGTGTTTGAGAAGGGGGCTGACTGGAGGTGGAAGGAAAGGAAAGTGGAGCGTTCACCAAGGTGGCGTGGAGAGAGGGGCAAGGATGAAGCCCAGTCTGGTCCCCATATCATTTCTGCCAATGTTTTAGAAGCTTGTCAATTTCCCTTGATTAAGAAAAAGATATTTAAAAACTCATTAATATACTCATAAGAAGCCTTCAACAAACTGCTCATTTCTTCAAAGGCTGCTAAGAAGGATATATTCTTTAGAATGTCACTGAATGTGTTTAAGAAGAATTTCTCCTAAGATAGGTGTATGGCAGATGGGAAAGTGGTCATTTGGAGACTTAGCTTTTCGAACTGGAGCAGCTTACAAGAGAGGCACTGTCTGCCGGGACTGGAAGACGGTGCTGATCAAGGGGAGAGGGATACCCCTGTTCCTGCTCTCTTCTGGGCATTGGAGCAGCCGGGATCAGATGGCCTGTCCCCATACCCTGGCCCTCGTAGGGCACTGAGCTCTCTGTCGACCCCCTTTACAGAGCAGCTCAGAAAGCAAGCCCTTCCGCTGCCCAACATCAAAGGCATCCCCTTCGACCACGCCCAAATGGTGTCCTCCGAGGTAAGTGCAGGGGAAAGGGCTTCGTGAGGTGAACATACAGGGTCAGAGCTAGAAGCACTGTGCAGCGACGGACACACTGGACGAACCTTTCCTCCAGATGGAGACGCAGATGCAAAGGCAGCAGCTCCCTAGGCTGTTTGCTTCTCTTTGGCAGCTCCTCCTCCCAGGCATGTCACCTCCATTTGCGCTGAGCAAAGAGAGGTTGTGCAAGGCAGTTGCCTGGAGCCTGATGTTGTGAGCCATGAGAGGTTAAAAACTAGAGCCATCCAGGCAGGAGTGTGAGGCCTGGCCAGAGGGCAGAGAAAGCCAGTGAAGCTGTCGAAGCCCAGCCTACAGGACTTTGTCAGTTCGGAGTCTGTTTCTGGGCCACCCTGCCTCTTCCACACTTCTTCCTTCCCGCTGCCGGACAATTCTGAGGAGGGAGAGGGTTGACAGAGGTCAAAGGGAAAGTAGGAATCAGGAAGGACCTTCATTTCTTTACCTTGAAAGGCCTCTCACTCTCAAATAGCAGAACAAGGTGAGACTTTCAAGGTGGAGCAGAGAGAAAGCATCAGACAGAGTGAGTTGAAGGTGGGCCTGCCACCTCCGGGCTTTGTGACCACAGGCCCCTCTCTGTGTCCTCATCTGAGACATGAGCCAGAGATGAGGGCTTTCCTTTACCAACATGAAGATCTGTTAGGAGCACTGACAGCGTCCAGTCCCACTTTACCATCTGACAGGACATGATCCAGCCTCTCAGACACATGTCCTAGATTCAGGACATCAAGCTTGGGGCCCGGACTCCTGGCTCCTGACCTGGACATTTGGGAGATGCTAGAAACGCACTTCCAAGAACGAGAGGGTGGAAGGGAGTGGCTGTGGTTTGGTTCATCAAAGTCCCAGCTCCTGGCTGTGCTATTCCCTGTAGACCCCAAGTTTCAGCCCAGGGGAGCTCACACACACAGGGAGGGAGACAGACAGACAGACAGACAGACAGACTGGACAACCACCACAAGTTATACAGGAACTAAATAAAGCTGCTCCAGAGGACCCTCCATATCTCCCAATGCCAAAGAGGAAGAGTGGGAGGTGAGGACAGGGTACACCTCTCTGCTCCTATCCGCAGGGCTACCTGATGCTCATGGTTTCAGCACAGTAGCTGCTTCTCACCGAAGACCAGCCCACTTCCTTGGTTGCGCATGCTCAGAAGCCTTGAGACCCCCAAGAATGATGACAGTGCTGATATGTCTTAATAAAGAGAATTCTTGCTTGTAAAGCCGTCTGACTCTGAGTTTGTTAGAGGTTCTGGGAGGTAGCGATCCTGTGCTGAAACATTTACATGTGTCTCCCTATTATTTCCTGTTCATCTCTGGCCCCAAAGAAAGATGTGCTGGGTTCTGTAAGCCGTGCTGCTGGGAAGGAGTTTGCTACCAAAAATGAGAAAAGGGCAATGTGAGTTTCAAAAGGCCAGGAGAAAGTGAGACGTGAGCACTTTAGAAAAGCTCCTGGGGTCTAGAGGAAGGAAGGAGAGAGAAGCAGGAAAGAGGAAAGGGTTTTTTCTTTTTCTTTGAGAAGGTGGGAACCAGAGAGCCCCCCATAAGGAGATAGGGATAAAGATCCCCACGATGGAGAAAAGAGGCAGAGGGAGGTGACTGACTGATCCCCAAGGCTTGGAGGTGAGTCCAGGAATGAGTGTGAGCAGCTGGGTGTGGTGAGCAACAGAGCGATCTTCCTATGTCTGAGCGTGCTGCCCTCATGAACAAAGAGCTGGGCTAGTTTCCTCCCAGCCCTGCTCCTGTGCCTCTCAGTGAGCAGAGAAACGCAAAGCATCAAGGGAAAGAAGTCAGAGATGCAAACAGCTCTTGGTTGACAGGGTGGAGGGAGAACGCTCATCAAAAACGTCTAATTAAAAAAAATTAAAAATCTCATTGCCATCGAATCGGCTCATAGCTGATCCTCCAGCACGTTTTTAGAGATTGTACATCATATGGGAGGAAAGTGTTCTTCTTTCTCCCTTGCAGCAGCTCGTAAACGCAAACTACCTGTCTTTGGGTTGGCAATGCAAGTCTTTATTCACTAGGCCACCAGAGCTCCCTGGGGCAGAGGGAGTGATGGAAAAAAGAAACTAAAACTCCCAACAAAAACTCACTGCCACTGACTCAGTTCTAACTCACAGCAACCCTTCACCTGAGGCTATAAACGCAGAGAGGAGACCGTCTGTCCATCGTTTTCCTTCTGAGCCACGAGCAGACTGGCACCGCTGGAGAATTCCAGCCTTTGGGTTAGCAATGCAACTCTCTGCGGACTAGACCACTAGAGCTCCCATAAACACCCTTGAGCACACACAGCACGCAGTAAGTTCGGTCTGGCTAGGGAAGCCAAACTTTGCCCACTCGCAAGACAGAGTATGGTGAGCCCATGGTGATGGTTAGATCAAAGTCTGTCCGAAATTTCTCTTTAACTGCCTTTCCCCTAGTAACTCCTGCTAAAGGAGTTCTGATGGTGTTGTCGAGCAGTGCTACAACCCAAAAAAGCCATGTGTTCTCTGGAGGTTAGACTCCACCAGCTGCTCCAAGGGAGAAAAGCAGGTGGTCTCATCTCCGAAAGATTTACAGCCTCAGAAACCCCAGGAGAGCTGCTGCGAATCAGAACCAACTTGGTTACAGTGACTGAACACCCTCTGACCTCTGAAAAATGGGAAAGTGGCCGCAACCTCCAGTTCTCCACTATGCAGTCCAAACAAGGGTGAGATAGGCTCGAGTTGTCACGGGGATTGGTGCAGGGGCCCTGTCCTTTAGCAACACGTTAGAGTCCAGAGCAAACCATGCTACAGATTCTTTTGACTCTCCAGGCCTTTTTCCAAATATGAACCACAAGTTCAGCTTTGAACAGAAAGGAAGTTCCCAGTAGGTGACCCTCCGTGGAGAGGTCTTTGAACAAGAGTATAGGACTGTTCTACACGTTGTGCCTGCCAATAGGAGAGTCTCCTGAGCCATAGTGCATCTATAAAACTAATCTAAGGTAGGGTGGCAGCTGAGATATGCTCTCCCACATAAGGACTGAACCCTAACCCCTAAATATCCCATGGACTGGCAAAAGAACAGGCAAGTCTATCTTGAAGTAAGTGCAACCAGGGTATTCTTTATAGATAAGGATACTTTGGGGCATGTTTTTAGGAAGGTGGGCCATCTGAGGGCCGTCTATGGTCCATGGAGGTAAGGCCTTGAGTGAGGCCTCTGTACATGAACTATTAAGAACAAAGCAGCAGAATGCTGAAGGAACACAATACTGTGAAAAATGGCAATACTACCAAAGGCAATTTACACATTCAATGGAATC